TTGCAGATGTCGTGGTGACGTTGCTAACTTCGTGTTATTCTCTTTTTCTTAGTAAATACATCCTTGTTGGCTTTACAAAAAGGAGATTACGTATAACCAATACAAACGTAAAAACACAGAGAAAAGCAAAATACGAAAACGAGTTATCAGACAGAGAGAAAACAACGAGTTTGAGGCTAAAAAGGGTACTTGAAAGTTGATGATTGATATTGTTCAACAAACATAGAAAGGTTATAAAGTCACAATATGATATGAACAAGACATAATGTGATGGTATGAAATAGATGGTTGTTTGGGTGATAAAAGAATGGAACTAGTTATAGGAAGGGGGTCATGGCCTAAAGTAGATAGGGTAGGAGACAAATGGGGCCAAATTTTACCATTGCAAGAAACCTTTTTATGGAGTCATAAATGCATATCATGTAGGGCATGTGCCCTTCTCTTTTTGCTTCATGTGAACCCTTTAACCTTATTTTCATGTCCTATCAAACATTTTGCTTCAATGGTATCCACCAACACCAACCCTTTTAAGGAGACCAAGTTATATGAAATTTGGTGTCTACCCTTTTTAAAAAAAAAAACCCATACTGGACTCAATTTTTTTTAATTAACCTGCATATCCAGCTCGTTATATGAGTCGACTAATTCCAAATTTCCAATACCATTGCAACCACCTGTTTTGCGGATAGCTTGGAGTCACCATATTTGAACCTCTGTGGCTACAAAGGGATTCTTATTTCTCCTTGAATTTGAACATGTGACCCCCCAGACAATTTTAACCTTTGAGCCCAATCTCAAACCAATCAGACACCACTCTTGTGGTTGACTTCAATTGAAATCATGAAGATGTGGTTTGTATGTGTTGCGGGAAAATGTTTTATGTGAATTTCGTGAAATAGGAGGATTCAGTATATTAATATCATGGATTCGAAACAAAAAAGGATTTGTGTATTATTATGGTTATTTATTATGATCGTTCAATTTTAATGTTGGTGTTGTCTTTAAACGTAAATTGGTTTTAAATGTTTTTGTTTTCTCGGTTTGTTAAATTAATTGACAAGTCAAACGTTACGTGTTTTAAGTTAAGGAGGTGGTTTTTATTTTTATAAGATGGAAAAAGTATTACTGTGATTTGTATCTATTTGATATAAATATATGAATGATTTTACAACGTGAATGGTACTGGATGAATGAGAAAATTACGAAAGGATAAGCAATTTCTTAATAGTATATAAAAATCATTAAATATCACAATCTGCTATAAAAGAAGCAGAAGAGCGATTTACAAAACAAAAGCTTTCTTGCAAAACATCATATGTATGAAGAAGAAAGCAAGGTTAGGTCGACTTACAAGGAAGTTTTTAGGTGGATTCCACTGTAATTGATCTTTTTTACATTGACTTCTCTTTTCTGACCACATAAATTTTCAAATAGTAAATTACAAAAGTCGTCCCTATTGTTTACCATTATTTTTGTCGTTTCGAAATTACATAAGCCAGCCTGTGGTTTCAATTTCATTACAGATCTTGTCCCTGGCCTTAGTGAATGTTAGGAGCAGCCGCCAAGTGCCCCTTGCGTGAAAGTAACATGAGGGCACTTTGGTCGTTTTGCATATTTTTTAATAGTTTATTTAGTATACAAGACTTTTAGATCATATGTACAAGTCCGTTTGAATTTCAAAGAAAATAATAATGAACTATATGTTATATCAAACCGGTCATCCACCCCTCCTCCGACACCATCGCTCTGCTTCGGTGAGATCATGCCACTGTTGCACGACGACATCATTCCTTCCCAAACAGATGAAGAAAACCTCAGGGACGAGCAGTAGCAAAACGAAATATGAAAAGAGGAAGATGGCCATTGAAGCTTGGATGCAATGGTGTTCTAAGAACAATTATAAAAGACAAATTCATAAATTTTTCTACTCGAAATCTATTTACATAAGTGTAATTTACGAAGGAAAAAACAACCAAACGAATTGGGCCATTCCTTACCCATCATCACAATGCAATCGATGCATTTTAGGGTTGATTTATACATATATTTTAAATGTCTTATATATATATTTTGCAAACTATATTATTTGTACAAACCGTACAAACTTTATTCAACAAATCATATTTTTCATTTTATTCATTTTTTTGTAATTATGAAAAGTTGATTAATCATTTTTATTGTGGAGGGTGTTAATCATGAATATTATCATCTTCATTATATTAATTTTTAAAGAAATACATGAAACAATTTCATTAAAATTTCATAAACATTATATGAAACAATTTCATAAAAAATTTCACAAAATTAAACAATGAAATCTCCGGATGAGGTTAGTTTGCACGGTTTGTACAAATATAAGTGGTTTGCATTTGATCACTCATCTCTCTCTCTCTCTCTCTCTCTATATATATATATATATATATATATATATATAGATAGAGAGAGAGAGAGAGAGACACACACGTGCGAAGGCTCGTGTGAGAATATGAGTCAGGGTGAGAAGCGTAAAAAGAGATATGGACCCTTGATCACTTTACGCTCACCTCCGCCCATGAGTTGCACTTATCTAAGGGTGAGATCCCTTCTTACCCTTTTTAGCATAACTTCAATTCTCATCGGAATCCAACCATATTAAATTCACGTTCCAAAGCAAAGAGAACACCAAACTACTTGGCATACAACCACACACATACCAAGTGGCCAATATATCCAATGTATTAAATAGCGGCACCACGAGGCCAACTCTTAAGTCTTATACGTCATCGCAAAACATAACGTTTTTCAAGGCACGACATAAGACGACAAATATGTCATATATAGAATTATATATATACATATATGTTTTTTATATATTATTCAATTTGATATTAAAAAATCACACTAAAAGAAAATTCATATAGATATAAAAATAGTCTTTGATTAAATATTTAAATAAAATTTAGAAAGGTAATTTTACAACTTCGTTTTAATCTTGAGTCGATGGTGTGAATGAATTCGTGAAATTATGAGTAGTGTGATTAGATAAATCTATAAAAAAGTGTAAAAACTAAAGTTAAAAGTGTGAAAATGCAAAATCTAAAAAAATTATAAAAAACAAAGATATTTTTTTAAAAAAGTCACACCTTGTAAAAACGCACGTTACGTTGCACCTCATGCATGAGTCACACCTTACAGAAACGTTATAGGTCTTATCGTAACGAAAGAGACGCGTCTTACGCCATATCGTGTCATGACGCGTTTTCTGAACACTGAGAATATCACAATCTCATATTCCCATTCGAAAGTAGGGTCCAACAGTAAGAAAATGGTAGGACAGTTATGCAGTTAACACAACAATAAGGACGTGCACGTATAGGATTTGACAATTTTTGTGCCTTCGCATGATTGTTGCACCCTATTTCATTCAGCAAGACCGATATAAGTTTCTTTCTCCCTACTTTCATTCAAGATCGATGTAAGTTTCTTTCTCCCTCTTTCATGGACAAACTTCATGGCAAAAAACAATCACACCTCGAATGATATTTTTTTGTTAAGAGTATCTCCAACAGATTCTCCAAAATAGTGATTTAGAGGATTTTGTTCCAACAAATTCTCCAAAATTGAGATTTTGCTCCAAAAGATTCTTCAAAACTTCTCCAAAATGGAAAAATGAGAGAGAGAGAGAGAATGAAAATCTCCAAAATTTGGAGATTTTCTCAAAAATGATTATTTATTAGAGAATAATGGGTTTTATTTATTCTTCCGATGAAATTGTTTGAAATTAAATGTTTAGGGGAGATAAATAATATTTAATGAGTTGTATTTGATATTTTAATAGTTTTATTAATTGTGTAATCTTCAAAGAGGGAAGGGGTTTAGAGGGTGTTGGCGATAGTGAACCTAATTCTGGTTCTCAAATATAGTTTGTTTGTTCATTTAATGAGAAAATTGGAAGCAAACAGTAATAGTTCGAGAGCATCATAAGCAGAAATTGGAAGCAAGCAGTAATCGGTTTGATTTTGGTGTTTGATAAGCATAAATAGGAAGCAAGCAGTAATCATGAGGGTATTTTTGTCATTTACACATTTTCGGATGAAATGGATTTCAATTCCATTAGTTTTAGGAAGGAATGGTGAAATTCTCAAATGATGGAATCTTTGAAATTCAATTCCATTCCATGGGTAACCAAATGTTGGAATGGAATTCAGTCAACAAAATTATTCCAATTCCAGCAGATTCCGACGAACCAAAACGCCCCCTTAGTTTTATGCTTATTAAACACATTCAATTTTTACAAGACCCCACACATTTGATTTTTTTTTTCACAAAAACCAAAAGATATAAATTCATCCCAATATTTTGTGTATTGTTTTGTTAAATCCATTTAAATATTACGTATATCCATATTTAGTTCTTTTGTATTGTTTTATTAAATCCATCTCAATGCTTCTTGTTTTAGCTTTAATATAAACAAGTTTATGATATGTTAATTGTTCTATATGCTCAAAGCCTCAAACCAAGTATCCAGACATAAAATATATAAAATTATGGTATAATTTGTCATGCAGTTTAACCGTTATAGTAAAAGAATAACTAAAGAGTCTGACACTTGACCTTTTTAACCTGAAAACCAAATAATCCGAAACCATTTTGGTTCAGATGGATTATTCGATTTCAAAATATTTTCAGCACCCTTAAGTATGACCCCAGCCACCTTAGTTTCTAGATCCGCCACTAAAGGATAGTGAAATATTACTTGTGAGCTCTAGATATAAGTTCTTAAGGCATCACTCGTCCCACATAGGAAGTGTGATAAAGCCTCCCTTAGTTTATAAGTTCTATTGAGTTGTTTAAGAGATTAGATGTGCCAAGGAAGATTTGGCTTTGTTATGTGAATTTTATGCATATATTATTCAGTCAAAGAATTTTCTAACATGGACAAATGGGTATTGAAAATTTGTGAATAATATCCACTATGTTTGACACGTTGTTAGGATGAGAATAAGCAAAAAGCTAATCCGTAATAAAACATTGCAATTTTTATTGAACATGTATCTAAAATTGAAGGTGACAGAAGTAATTCTCAACAAAAATGTAAGTTATGGATTCTACTATATATGCCGATATGAAACAAAGTGCTTACAGTATGTTTGAAGGATGCTGCATTGGAACTATGAGTTCCTTCTCCATTTTGCACCAGAATTAACGAGTTTGATATAAGCGTTCTTGAAATCTTCGAAGAACAAATCTTGATCGTCACCATACTTTGAGATCCACCTGCAAATACCACAAGCATAAGTGATTCGAGTTGATTTGAATTTAACCAGAATCATGGACCAAATCATCCTATTTGGTTTCAAACTTCCCCTGACCAAACAAAAGCTAGCCAATTTTGGTTTGGTCTTGTTTGGTTCCATCATTCATAGATAAATGAAGGAAACACACACACACACACACACAAATATATATATATATATATATATATATATATATATTACATCATTTCTGTCTAAATTTGGATATATTAGCTAACATGTATGGTTAATCTGAAACAAAAAATAAAGGAACGAAAAGAACAATTTGATGGAAAATTTCAACCATTATCGATAAATTTTGGTTCGTGGTCAGGTTAAAATTGTAACGTAACTGAGGAATTTTTTATTCGAATATATAACTACAAAAATTAAAAGTACATTAGCATTTTTTACTATCTATTTTGCCATTATTCTGGTATAAAAGAAACAAAATGGTTTATAACCCCAATCGGTAGGTGCAATTCTTTTAAGTGGTTACAATTAGAACATTAATAAAATTTCAAATAGAAATCATTAGTGCACAGTGTACCTTAAGCATTCATCATCCTCGATGAGCGCACGATCTGAAGGAAGACCGATCATGCTTGTCATTCCTGCTGAACACAAAACGTTAGGAAAATGGGAAGTCTTTTACAACGCTCGACTTGCAACATAGTCTAGATAAATTTTGATTCCTAGTCAAATGTCTTGGATGCTTTTGACAAAATGGAGGAATGGATCAATATCAATACTTATTATCTTTGAAATGATTGCAATGAATATATATATATATATATATATATATATATATGTGTGTGTGTGTGTGTGTGTGTGTGTGTGTGGAGAGAGGCAGGGGACAAATCAAACACAAACCATGGAAAAGTTACAAACTATACAAACCAATCTCAATCGTCCATCTAGTCTAACGAATACATGGATTCTTACAAATAACGATTGTTTTCTAATATAAATTGTTGACCATAATTAATGAACTCTAATCATCTTTCATAAATATTTAAATCATAATAAATAAACCTTCATCATTTCCATAAATATTTTAATTGATTGGTTTGTATGACCTGTAACCTTTCCATGGTATTGGTTTACTATACAACCGATTTTATTTGTACAATCATTGTAACTCAATCTCAACCTTCCATTTAATTTAGTGAATATGTGGTTTCATAAATATCTTGAATGTTTCTTAATATAAAGCGTTGATAATAATTAATGAATCATAATCATCTTCCATAAATTTTCAAATTATAATAAATGAACACTCATCATTTCCATAACTATCACAACTAATTGGTGGGTGTTATAGATTTCTCCGTCCCATTTTGTTGGGTCAAGTGAGGATACATGATCTGAAGGGAAACGAAAAAAGAACCAGGAAAAGGAAGAATTGAAAAAAAGATGTCGAAACAAATGGGGATATACACACTATTTCTCAAATTTATCTTTTTTTCTCTTCAAATTGGTACCGTCACAGGCCAAAGGCAATTATGGTCTACCTAATACATATCGAACATAGTTGCGAGAAAGGAAATACTTCTACATGCAAATGACAATTGTTCTAACATAGTATGAAGCATGTTACAAACCTGAAGATAGCCATGGCTTTTCCAACAGTACTTTGTAGTATGCATTATCAAAAATAACTGGATTTCCAAAACCCTTGCTTCCAAGAGTATGAGCACCAGATAATGCTACAAGTTCTTGTGTTCTGCCAAAAGGTTGAAATTTCAAGATACATGCAAAGAGAGGGTTGGGTTCAAGTGAGAATGGAAGTTATGGTAAGAAGCGTAAGAAGAGATCTCCACCCTTGGATCAATCCCTAATTGAATGTCAACATTAATGAGGCGCACTAATTCCCTTCTAAAGCGCAATTCATGAGTAGGCATGAGATTAAAAGTGATCAAAGGTTCAGATCTCCTCTTACGCTTCTCACCATAACTTCCCTCCTCACACGATCCTTCGCCTGCAAAGAGAACCATATATAATCATAATTAAAAGTGAAGGTGCACTCTTTTCGTGTGGAACTGCTTTCGACTAAATTACTACTCACTCTGTCCCATGATTGCAAAATTTAACTCAGTTTATAGTTTATCAGAAGGGTTTGGCGATTAACACTTGTCAAAAACACCCTTTACTGCTCATGGAACCAAAGCAAATAATATAATGACTGTGGGTAAATAGGTAAATTTTGCTTGAAAGTTTTGGAAAGAAAATGAAACATGGCAGTTTTCACGGGACATCACAAGATAATGAAGATATAAGAGTGAGATGAATATAGAGAAGATATATTTGCCACAATTGAAGCCAAGAAACCAGTAATTAGTGCATTATCTATCATACTGTCTTGCATCACTTACAATAAACTACATAACACATGTTTGATCATTACATAATTACGTAGAAGCCCGTTTGAAGACAAGGTCAGGTTCTAATCAACTACAACTTCAAAGATTGCCAATTTGTAAATTCCACCTAAATGGTGTTCAACAAAACAAGGATGTGATTTTGGGTCCTATTTACTTAATGTGAGGAGAAAAGAAGATGAGATGCACAAACTAGTCAAGAAAGTGGTATAAAGAAATAAAACCTAATGTTCTAGTCTATAGAACCAAGATAGTCATATTCACTTACGAAAAACCTTTTCGTTGGAAACTATGTTTCAGCCCAAAGGCGTCCAATGTTTCTTCAGGAAGTTTTCCCTCGGGATCAGGAACCCTACAAGGCAAAACATAGCATTATAACAATAACCTGAAGCTTGCTACTTCATATCACACAGCATGCCTACCTCACCTCATTTATAAAACTTGTGAGAAAAATTAGTCCCTTACATCGAGTCTAATCGGCCTAATTGAACCGGGATTTTTGGACCTCCACATAAAGAGACAGCTTCAGCTCCAGCCACAGCAATCATATCGGCCAGTGACACTTTAATTTAAGAACAAAAGAAACGAAAAATTTCACAGAAATATAAGCAGTATGCTACAAAATATCAGAAACTGACAAGGTGATAGGATGCCATAGTTCCAAGGACGATGAGAACCTGGTTGCGTCTCGTCCACTATCTTTTTCGCTTCCACAAGAATCTAAACAATAAATTAGTTTCAAGCGAATAAGAACTTTGAAAACTTACACAAGGCATCTGTCTGTAAGAAAACACATGCATGTACAAAAAATTGTGAGGAAGTGAAAGGGTGAAAAGACAACTAAAGTTAACCTTCAATGATTTCTTAAGACCTTTATTTTCAGGTCTATCAAGTTCAAAAGATATAGAGCCATTCATACCACCTGAAATAACAGAAGGAAGATATTTTGGATATCAAGGAAAGATCTAGAATAAGAGTTGACACCCATTAGCTTTTCCTTTTCAAAATTAACCATCTGTGACATATGACTGGTATTTCCACCAATCGGGAGGGAACTTCCATTACAAAAGTCTTTTTGAAGCATATTTTATTTGCATACAGCAAATACTCATGCACACTCCTTCGCTTTGGTGAGGCTTGAACCCTCCTCAACCTCCTGGGAGGCTGGGCTCTACAGGTAACCCAGGTGCCGTTGGGCCAATGACCCATTGGTTCCATTCAAAAAGTTCTAGAGAACTAATTTTTCCCTATGTTTCAAAAAAGAGACTCCCTTTGGTTTTTAAGGCCAAATGGACTACTTTGCAACTTTAAAAACTAAAACAGGTTCTTCACATTGTCAGGATAAAAAGATAGCTAAAACTCTTCAACAGATGCTACAGATACTATGTTTGACATCAATAACCTAAACAACCTTCTTTTAGAGTGGAGGGAGCTATAATCACAATCAGCTATTTCTTGAAGAATATGACTTTCCAAATAATACCTGAATCCTCATCCATTTCATACGTTCCTGCATCGTGAAAAACCAAGCGAAGGACACCAGCAGCCTTCCCCTTAGACAATACTTTTCTTATCTCTCCCTGTAACAAGAGTAGATCACTGAAAACAAACATCAATTTATTAGAAATAGGAACACGTCATTACCTTGAAAACACAATGGTAGAGAGTAGAGTCAAGGAGAAAATTAAATTTGGACAAAATGCTGAATATTAATTTTTTTTGAAGTATATAATATAATTTATATACGACAAATGCAACAAATAACCTCACACACCCTCCTCACCATTGGTGAGGTTTGAACCCCTGACCTCCTAGGAGGCTAAGAGTCTCAGATACCGCTACGCCAAAGGCCCTTTGGTTGCTGAATATTAATGTTACCAGTGAGGCAGTGATGTATATTATCTGCTTGGACATAAGATATAACCAAGGATGATTTTTTTACCTATGGTATCAGAATGTCTGGCTCCTTATTCTCATCTATGACAACAAGGAAGCTGAATACCATACGTATGGCTCCACATTTTAGAAGAACACAAGCATTGAGACGTAATAGATGTTATATTATCATTCATACGGTAGTGAAACAATTCGACTTCAGTGGTTAAACAAGTTAATTTTGAATCCAAAACAACATAAGTTTATGTCTAGTTTAAAGATAAGAAAACATCGGTATTGATGGTAAATTTCATAATCCCTCCATCCCAAAATAAATACAACCTCTTTTTTCTTTTTGGCAAGCTCCAATCCAAATTACCTATTTGCCTACTATTAATCGTTGGAGACCAACAGCATTAATTTTGGTCCAAAAAATTTAGATGTTTTGTAATCATTGAGGAGTAATTTAAATATATGACTAACTGTCAAACAATCTAATCAAACCGTGTGGCTGGTCAAACATTGTATTTAGTTAGGAATAGGGCGTATCATTTCCACCCTAGTTATCATCTAAATCAATGGCTTTAGAAACTCTGGTTTCAGAATGGTAACAACAATTTTAAAAAACCAACTTATGTAAGCTTATAGCAACAAAGACAAGAACAAGAACACAAGGACACTACGCTCGTGCCATCATGATTAGACCATGTCCCTGAGATTTGATAAAAGAAAGGTGCATTTGCGGTCTGGAAGTAGGAAATCAATCCCGGCACGACCGATGACTTAGTCTCCTTTTAACATTTTGCAATTATTGACTTACTCTGCAGCATTAGCACCAGAACTTTGCATTGATCCATGTAGAGGAAAAAGAAATCCAAACACGGAAATCATCATTCTCCTGCCATATGAAGTGGGAACATGATTCTCATCTGCATCCCCTAAAAAATTTGGAAATTTAGAAAGAAAAAGAGTCGCCAGAGATTGCCGTTCATCTATAGTTAGGTCTAATTGCTACGCTAAATCCAAAAGGCAGTACTATCAACAATCAGCACTGTACCATGCTTCGAAGTTCGAACCAAAATACTTATGTTTCACAATGGATCTATCTTCACCCTATCACACAATAATTTCAATATACAAAACACAAATGACTGTATACACAATATCCAATAGAAATTAAGTAAGATGTTAGAGCACAAAACCTTGGTGTAACATCTCAAATACCAATTTCTCAAAACTTTGGGAAGAGAAAACTAAAGAACTCGAAATGAAATATATTCCGAACTTCACAAGCTTTTTTCAAATAACAAAAGCTAAATCTTATGCACATATAAGCTATACCTTCAATTTAAGAAAATTGTACACAAAGGCCTAATAGGATAAAGATAACGAGTTGTCATCATGAACAATCTCGTATAGAAGTTTCAGACAGAACGGTAAATTCATCGCATCAAGTCCATGGTAACTAAAATTTCCAAATTAGAGAAAGGTTTTATTTACTTGAATCAGAAACAGCGGTCGAGGATGATGATGATGTTGAACAAAGGGCGGGCCTAACGGCGGTGCAGGTGCAGTTGCACCCATAGTCGGTTTTCCGGCGAACTTGAGCGGGAAATTTGAATCTCAAGGCAAACTGAGGAATGTTTGGAGAGCAGAGATTCCGTAAGGAGAGGTCGAAGCCAGTGATCGACATCTATAACGGGCGGTTCAGAACACGTTTGCGCCCCGTTCTATAGTATACATATATACATTATTATATTTTTAGTTAATTAAATAATTATTTTATTAATTTTTAAATATTTCTCTATTAATTAAATCTATTTTTAGAACCAAAGACATATAAATCAAACATAAGTAAAAAAACAGTTATTTTAATTTAAAATTTAGAGACCGTTTACCAAACGTTTATTCGGGTAAGTGCTTACCAAATCACATTACCTTACGGATGATATAGTAAAGACCAAGAATCTTACCCGGTAAAAGCAAGACAATGACCAAGAGTCTTATCCGGTAAGTAAGGACGAGTACTCTTACCACAATTAGCACTTACCGGGTAAATTATTGCATACGATGCCGTTTTTGTTGACTAAAAGCTTACCCGGTAAGTAAATGATAGTTTTTAATTTTACTGTAAGTGTTTAGTAAACGGTCCTTGCTGAAATAATCAATTTGTTCAACTCAATTTATTTTATAGTTACATTTTAAAACAATAAAATAGGTGGATTTTACGGTAACAGTTTACGCATTTAAGTAAACGATTTGGGTAAATTGCAATTGTTTTAGAAATTTACTTTATAATTACATTAAAATATTTTAATTAAATTATATATGAAATGAAAAATCTATCCACCTTCAATACAAATAACTTCAAGATTTATGAAATGTTCAAGTTCATAATCACATACATATGTTATCTAGGTCCCGAAAGCCGAGCATCGGATATATACGAATCAACGTTACCATCCGAGGGCCCTGATGAAGTCCCAGCCTCGCTAACCGATTTGAACAAGCCCAAATAGAATCGTGAGCCAGTTTGAGCCGTCACCGGAGGTGTAGGAACCGGGCATAACCCTTCAAGCATTTGCACCACTTTCGTCATTGAAGGCCTTAGATTCATATCATCCTGTATGCACCACAACGCCACCCGAGTCGCCACCGCCACCCGTTCGTCGTTCTCGTCCACTTTCATCTTCTCGTCCACAATTATCTGACCTTTGCCCTCTTCCATCATCTTAAAAGCGTACGTCGGAAACTGCGATATCTCTGACGAGCTATAGTTTTTCCGGCCACTGATGATCTCAAGCAACACCATTCCGTAGCTATAAACATCACTTTTTTCCGAGATCGCGTAGTTCGTGATCCATTCCGGCGCTAGGTACCCTCGAGTCCCTCTCAACGTAGTAAACACGTGGCTTTCTTCTCGTGTCATAAGCTTAGCCAACCCGAAATCAGAAACTTTGGCCAAGAAGTTATCGTCTAATAACACGTTCTCGGGTTTTATATCGCAATGAATGATCTTCACATCGCAATCTTCGTGAAGATAAGCGAGTCCTTTAGCGGTACCAATTGCAATACTGTATCTTGTATCCCAATCCATCAAAAACTTACCGAAAATCCATCGATCCAACGAGCCATTTGCCATATACTCGTAAACAAGAAGCCGATGCTTTCCTTGTGCACAAAATCCTTTGAGTTTCACCAAATGGTGATGATGGATGCTGCCGATTATGCTCACTTCGGCTCGAAACTCTTTCTTCCCTTGCCCGATCCCCTCTAGCTGTTTGACCGCAATCCGGCTCCCATCTTTTAGGATCCCTTGGTAGACCGAACCAAACCCACCTTGGCCTAGTTTCGTAGTGAAGTTATTTGTTGCTTCTTGAAGATCTTTGTAGCTGAAACGTATCGGCATCCCAGATATGTTCTCCAAGAACGTATCTTCTTCGGAGATTTCATCAGGAACTCCAATTGAACCATTGTTCTTGTAATAGCGAATACCCAAAAGTACTAGCCCGATAATAATAAATGTTCCCGCTATGACTATTACAATCACCAAAATCACCACCCGTGTCGAGTGTTTCTTGTTTTTCTGGCCCTGACCCGTGTCTGATTGCGTGCCTGAAACCTTAACATATGATTCGACTTTCGGACCATTTTTTGCATCTTCAAAGCTGCCAATCTGATCAAACAGGTAACAGTTTCCAGACTTGTTATCAAAGAACATAGCCAAGCAAGTGCAGTTGTTCAAACACGAGGATTTGCAGCCGTTTATATCGGTCTTAGAAGAGGGTGAAACGAACCCAAGTGCAAAATAGCTCAGATTCTCCCCTGCATTTACAAGACTCGATGAATCCTTCGAGTTGCTACATGAAGAAGCGATTTGTGGCTTGCAGTTAACTTGAGCCAGGCCCAAAGGGCATTGACAAATGTTCCCATCGTGACAAACAAAATACGACGAGCAAGCTTGCGGTCTGCTGCAAGAATCGTCGGGTATTTGAAGGCTAGCAGTTATTCGGGATAAGACATTATAGAATTTTATGAAGCCATCGTCTTCTAAAACTGCAATCCAAGTGGCATTAGCATCAGGATCATCTGCAAACACAAATTGCCATAGAAAGACTTTGTTTTCATCATAAAACCTCCATGAATTGGCTTCAATGGTTGCAGAATTAGTATCTCCACCACTTTTGTTGATGATTCTCCTCTTATCTTTGCTCATTGACCAATAAGGCTGTGGGTTTTTGAATTCGGCTGATAAAATCAGATCTTCAGTCTTGATTTGTAAAGAAAAACTCAAATTGTTCTTGGAATTGCTGACAAGTTTCATCCCTTCAATGAAATCTTGATTGGGCATAAGGGTATTTGTAGGATGGCTAAAACTTTGCCAAACAACAGCACCATCATCTTTAACAAACACCAAGTTCCCTGAATCAAGCAATTCCATGGCAGAAACCCCGTTCTTGGCAGTGTTTGTCGACCAAACTACTTTCCCATTGCTTTGTAGATTAGCATTTCCATCATCATCGAACACAAAACTATCAGAATTGCCAACTGGGTAGTCTCTATTTGCAGACCAGATGATCCTTGAACTGCTCATGTGAATGATCACCAAAGTGAACGAAGTTATATCACTATTGGCATTGAAACCGAACCCGAAACTTGATGTGTTTGATACTAGGAACAAACCGTTGTTGTCTATGAATTGCATTTGAGATCCTTGGAATCCAGGTTTCACTTTGCCAATTCTTCGAACACTTGATAGGCATGTGTGAGGTAAGAACAAGAAGAACCAAGAGATTACCAATAAACAGAATAATTCTGAAGTCCCCATGATCATATATTCAAATATAGCTGATTTGTGTTTTCTCTTTCGTTTTTTTTTGAATCCTAAATGGACTTTTAACAAAGAAACGAATCCAAATAGCGAAGCCAAAGCATCAAAAAAGTATGGAAAAGCACATAGAAAAAGAGAATGGAGAAAATCGTATATGAACATCAACCATGATCTTCGTTTGCATCAAACTGCGGAAAACCCCACAAGAGTCAAGCCCAGATGTTGAGAAAATGACCTATAAAGATTACCATTGAATTTGGCGAGAAGGAGCTGGCTCTATTATACTGAAACATATGAAACACGGCATTATACAGTTTCCCACTGAGAGAGAGAAAGAGAAGGGTAAAGATGTGCAGGGAGAGAGAGGAATTTGTCGCTGCTGAGCTCAAAAGAACATCTGACGAAATCATATCAAATCACATATTCAAAATATAAGAACTAAGGGGGCTGATTAACTAATTGTTTATCCGGTAACACACTTCTGTATAGGAGTTAACATTATAATTTATTTTGATGTGTAAGATTTTAGTATATCAAAACATATCGAATACAATTATTTATCGGGTAAGCGTTTATTTAGGTAAGAGTTGTTATCCTCACTTACCAAGTAAGAAGTAAGACTTTCCATCATTCTCACCGTTCTTATCCGATAAGATTCTTAACCTTTTTCATGTTCATTCGATGAGGAAATTTATCCGACAAGTAAGTGCTTAGTAAACGGCCCCTAAACCTTGATATTATTGTATGTGAAGAGGAAATTGATAAGGATAAAAAATTGTAATGAAATTTTAAGATAAATCTATATATTAAAAAACTAATAAATTTGCTATTTTTTAATTTGTTTGATTTCAAATTTTTTAGATCGCTTCATTTGACAGTTGATTCTTCGTACCTACCACTTGAGATGATGTAAACATCACATGATATGGAATAAGCGACTTCATAATTATCATTATGGTACTGTTTACCTAATTACTTACCCGGTAAGCATTTATCCGTGAAATTCAACATTGTCGCTTACTTACTGTGTAAGATTTTAGTCCACGAAAACAGCATTATATACAACAATTTACCCGGTAAGCACTAACTATTTACCCGGTAAGCACTAACTGTGGTAAAAGCTGTCACTCTCACTTACCGGGTAAGACTTTCGGTTCTTGTTTCGCTCTTATCGGGCAATATTTTTTGTCTTTACCATATTTATCCGGTAAGGTAACGTAACTTGGTAAGTGCTTACCCGAGTAAGCGTTCGATGAACAATCCCTAAGTCCTGTAGATGTTGTTATACATATATCGTAAGTCTCTTCAATATCCTCAACGACTTGTAAAATCAGATAAAAAACATTCACACTTAACTGCATATGAGAGTCGTAATTAACATGATGGATTTATCGAGTTAATTCCTCCAATCAGCTTCCCCACTTGTGAACAAGGATGTTTGAGCAATGCTTAACCATCAATTTTGTTCTGTTTGGTTTTGACTCAATCTACGTGACTTAATCCGTATGTAGCATTTTTCTAATAATTATTTCCATGTCATGCTCAATTTTTCAAAATGATGTCAGTTATGATGTTGAATTCCGTTATTTATTAGATATAATAAATGATATAATTATGAAAATATATTCATGATTGGTAAATATTTTTATTCAAATATACAATTGAAAAATACATTATTATTTTGTTTAAAAAACCAATTTATATGATTTTCAGAATATTTTAAATAATAACCACCATAAATCCAATGAGCAGATGCTAGTGGGTTGCCCAAATTATTATTTTAATAATAGCATTGGCTTTATTTTTCTGCACTAAACGATACAAAACCTGGTATTATATTATACAAATTGCAAATAAAATAAAAATATTATATCACTAAATTTGACTTGCTTGTTAATGTTAGATTTTGGAATGCTGTTCCATTTTCTAGGCCACGGTATTCTTTATAAAAATAAGTAAAAAGTTGTTTGACAGTTGTTAAATGGTTTGGTGTTAAGTGATCCGCATGATTAAGAGACTCTCATGATATAATGCAAAATGGAATATAATTGTTTGGTAATTGTTTAAAATGAATTAGGGCGTTGAATGGTTAAGAGAGGCACATGATAGAAAATCATTCAGAATGTTTTAGAACCATTAAGAGACAGACTTTTTTTTGTCAAACAATATTCATTTCTTAACGATTCAGATGCTGTCTTTTAATTGTACCATAAAAGGTAAACAATCAACCCCTTAATTTTTTTTAAGTATACATTTAAATTGACATAAATTAGTTTATTGAAATGTTAATTGTAATAGTTTATAATGAGCTCGTTATCACGTTTTCTTCAATATTGATATTATTCATTACCATCAATTATAAATAAATATTACGTATTAATAAATAAAAATTATTAATTAATTTTAGTTATATATTATACATTAATATTAATTGTTAGAATTATTATTAGTCAATATCAATTATTTTTATATTGTTATTTTTTAATTATTATCTAATATATTTAGTTAACAAAAATCAAATATAACAATTTTAATAATATTTATGTAAGTTACATAAAAATTAAAGTTATATTTATTATTATTATTATTATTATTATTATTTTAGAAGAGCAAATTGTATGAAAAAATAACGTATTTTAATTTGATATTTATTGTAGATAACATATTTTTAAAACTTTCATTTTGGTATTTAAAATGTAAAGTTTTAAACATTTAAGTAATCATGTCACTAACCATGTCACTCGCCACATCAGCATGATAACCGTTTAATGATTCAACTAGTTACCCGAGTAATTATATGTTTAAAACTTTACATTTTAGGTATCAAAATGAAAGTTTAAATGAAAGTTTTGAAAGTACGTTATCCAAAATAGAAATCAAGTTAAAATACGTTACCCGAAATAAAAGTCAAATTAAAGTACATTACTTTTTCATGCAATTTATCTTTTCTAGAAAGGAATTGTATAAATAAAACATACTTTTATTTTTTAGCAAAATATTGATTATCAGTAATTCGAACAATCCAACATGAAACTCATTTTTTTTTAATTAATCACATGTAAGAAGATATTTTAAAACTTACTCAACAGCTGACCCTAGCGAAGGAGTTCGAACCCATATTCCCACATGATTTAAACTTGAACTTGTTGTATATTTAAACAAAATCGCTTCATCATTTTATCAATTGAGCTACATGTCTGATGACTGAAAAACATACTTTTATTTAATTGATAAATTATTCTTTATAGCATAATTTTTAAAAAATACATTTGAGTGTATGATTTTAACGTGTTTTGTAAACAATATTTTTAAATGTACATAGAAAATAATTATTTTTATTGATATTATAAAACATTGGGTATAAATTATTAAAAACAACCTATTAAACATTACGTTATTATATACATATAACTTTTGAAAACTACATATAAATCTGATAAATATATTTAAATATAAAATAAATGTTGAGTTCTTAATCAATCCAACAAATGATGCAAGGTCGTCCCTTAGCATGTTAAATGTGAGATTTTGAATAAGGTCCCCGAAATTATGGGGCCTAAATTTACATGTGTTTAGAATCTTTTTATTGACTTGTATAAAACTGTAGCCGGAATTATTTAGGTTCAAATTATTAATGGTTTATGTTTAGTTTCAGATTGTTAACCGTTTTAGGTTTAACCTATTTTTGTTCATAATATATATTATCTGATATCTCATTTCTACACTGTGTATTCAAAAGTTTTAGATGTAGCAAAGCTTCCAAAAAGATTAGAACGTCCCTGAGATGATGAAATATTTGACCATTAAAATACATTTGAATTATAATAAGTTTTTAAAGCAACAACTTATAACAAAAAAAAAATTATAACGTTAATTTAACAATCATACAATTTAAATTAACGTTTTAAATAGAAACATTAAAGCAATACGTGAAAGGTGACGAAGTGGATGAAGTAATGGTGACGGATCGGTGATGCAAAATTGGTGACAGTAGAGACGGCTGTACTGCACATTTTTGACTTTTTGTCAACCGGGATTTTGATATTACTCATAAATTAACTTTTTCCAAATAGTCTACAATTGCCATAAAATATAATAACGTAACGTACAAAAAAGAAAGTCATTTTAATACATAAAATTATTAAAAACTAAAAATAGTTTTTAATAAAAAAAGGACGGACTTACGAAGACGCCAGCATGGTCCCGCACACTCATTCAACCAACTTTTGAATTAGAATGATAAACTTTGAGAGGTGCTTATAAATATTAGAAAATATAAATAACATCAATAAAAAACCGAAAAAAAAATATCGAAATCAATCAAGAAAGTTAAAATATCTTTCGAAATGGTAGAATTCAGTTAAAAACACATAACAATTATGGGCTTTTAGTCCATGTTAAGGTACACATGTTCGATGGGTTATCACCGAATCAATGTTGTAGTATTTTTGTAACGAAAATGGGTTTGATGAAAAAGGTAAAATTTGAATGGTTCCTTAATGGAGAGTGTTTAAACTAATCATATATTTCAACAACTTTCATGAAATAATGTTTATGGATTAGGTAACGCCATCAACTAATTCATTGCATCCTTTCAAAAAGGAGGGTCCCACACTTTTTTCCCCTTAAGAAACAATCATTATTTTTACTAGGAATATTGTTTTTTGATCTTAAATTAATGCTAAAACAATTATTTAAGTTTTATGAGTTAGTTTAATTGACAATAATATTTGGATTTTTGAAGATTTTTTATAGAGATCATTGGTTCGAGTCCTGTAAGGCTACTGGGGATTTTTTCTGATTGTTCTTTAGGACTTTTAGGATTAGTCGAGATGCATACAAACTGGATCAGATTATTTATCTGTTTTAACGGGTTAATCCACCTACCTATTTTGTCATGTATGGATTGAGAAGTGTTACGAAATGAAGTTGGTGTAAAGTGGGCATCCAGAAGGACTAAACTATAACTTTAAAAAAGGTCCAAGCTTAGATTCTTGTGAATAGATAGACGCCATATGTTCCTTTGCCCCTTTCGATCAAAGAATAATGACCTCATGATGTGAAAATTACAAGATTACCCATGGGACATTGATTTTGAACGAGCAGAAATGTACTTAGAATTATTTTCGATTGGTGATACTATTTGATTATAAGAAATAAAAATATGGGTATTTTTTTATAAAATAATCACTGGTTTATTAGTTAGTTCTTTCTTTTTCATATATAAGGTCATGTTCTTTCATTACAAAGAAAAAAAATTACAACGTAATAAATCTGATATTAAAAGCTAACAACTAATGAAAACGACACAAACGGGATCCCAACCCGAGTCTTAGCATGGGAGAATATCAAGAGAAATTTGTGTTACCATTGTGGTTTCAAAACATGTATGGTTACACGAAACAAAATGATACATAACACCTTTCATGACCTTATAATTTTCTACACTATTACAGAGGAACGAATGAGTGACATGTACCGGTGTATCTATTTTTTGCTTGTGTTTGAATGATTCCTAATTGGCTTGATTTCTAAGAGTATCTTCAACAGAATTTAAAATGGAGAATTTAAAAATCAAAATCTCCAAAAAAAATTACATCCATCTCCAATAATTTCTCCATTTTGATGAGTACAATATCAGTTATATTATTAAAATGTTCAGTACAATTCATACAATACTATTGTCTTCCTTCTCAGCATTTAGTTTCAAGAATCCTTATTGGTTAATGATTAAAAAAAATATTTATAATTCCTAAGCAATTACGGAGGTTCTCCAAATTTAAAGAATTTCATCATCTTTCTCCTACTTTATCCAAAAGTCTCCATTTTAGAAAAGGTTCTGAATAATCTGTTGGGACAAAAATCTCCCAATCGCTATTTTGGAGAAGGATGATTCTATTTGAACACCTATCCATCATTAATTATTACTTGATATTTTTTTGTTTTTTATTTTATTTTCCATACCATTATAATCTAATGATTTTTGTTTTTTTTCTCTAAATAATTATTAGTTTATTACTATTATTTTTTATTAGTAAAAAATTATTATTTATTATTAAAATAATCTTGCTTAATTATTGTTATTAAAACTAAACACTTATAAATAATATTAACTTTATCAAACACTACAAACTTAGTTATTTAATTTTTAAAACTACATAGGTTTTTAATATGTTTTTTTAATTAAAAAAAACAATATTAATATGCAAGTGTTCATAATTTTACAAAACTTCCACCATAAAACTTCCCTATATTTCCCCTCACAAAATGATTTTTTTAAAAGTTTAACATTTTGATCATTAAGTTTTATATATTTTTAAAGTTATTTTTGAAATTTAAATCGTAAACAAATCATAATTATTATTTAAATTGCTTTGAAATTAAATAAACTTTGACTAAAAAATTGGAGTATAAATTGGAAATGTTAATAATATTGTAATTTTAGTCTATTCACAAAAAATGTATATTTAAAATACAAAAAACAGTTGTCAAAATTATACAAATATATGTCAATTTTAACTTATAAATACATATCAATATTTACAAAAATTACAAGATTACCCATGGGACATCGTCGCATCGATTGTGAACAAGAGACGTACTTAGAATTCTTTTCGATTGGTGGTACTATTTAATTATAAGAAATAAAGATATAGATATTTTTTATAAAATAATCACTAATTTATCAGTTAGTTTTCTGTTTTTATATAGAAGGTCATGTTTTCAAATCTTTTATTGTATTTTTTTTTTGAAACATAACAAACCTGAAATTAAAAGCTAACAACTAATGAAAATGACACAAACGAAATTTGAACCCAATTCTAGGGTGAGAGAAAAGTCATGCAAACCAATTTTATCAAGAGAAATTTGTGTTACTGTTGTAGTTTCAAAATATATATGGTTGCATAAAACAAAATGATACATAACACCTTTCAATGACCCTGTAATTTTTTTACATTACGACGGAGGAATGAAGGAGTGACATGTGCCACCGTATCTATTTTTTACTTGTGTTTGAATGGATCCTAATTGGCTTGATTTCTAAGAGCATCTTCAGCAAAATTTTAAAATGAGGAATTAAAAATCTAAATCTAAAAAAAAAAAAAAATTACGTTCATCTCCAATAGTTTCTCCATTCTGGTGAGTACAATATTAATTATATTATTAAAATGTTCAAATACAATTCATAAAAATACTACTGTCTTCCTTCTAAATATTTAACTTCAAGAATCCTTATTGGTTGATGATTATAAAAATTATGTATAATTCCTAAGCAATCATGGAAAGTTCTCCAAATTAAAAAATGTTCATCATCAATCACAAGGGTGGTGCCTGATTGGTTTGAGCTTGAGTTCCAAAGTTCAAAAGTTCTGAAGGTCTCAAGTTCAAATCCAATGAGGAATAAAAAAATTCCATTGTGGCCACGGAGGTTCAAACGTGGTGACTCCGGACTACCCGCAAAGTAAGTGATCACCTTGAGATTAATCGGCTTGCATAACGGGTTGAATATCCAAATTAATAGGAAAAAAAAAAAAAAATTCATGAACTCTCTCCTACTTTCTCCAAATGTCTCCATTTTAGAGAAGGTTCTAGATAATATGTGGAGACAAAAAAATTTCAAGTCGCTATTTTTGGAGAAGGATGATTTTATTTGAGCATCTATCGAAATGTCATTTGAACACCTGTCTATCATTAATCATTACTTGATCGATTTTTCATTTTTAATTTTAACGATATTTCATTGAATAACTATTTTTAAATCAAGTGATGATTAATCATTAATTATAAAAGATAATTGTATAATATTATGGTTTAATAAAATGGTATAAAAATAAATAAATATATTATTTTAATTATTATTATAATAAAGATGTTTTATAATGTTATTTTTTAGTGTATGACGAGTTGGCTTCTTTTGGTGTTCAATGGACTCATCATTTTTAATGATTTCAATGTTTTATTTTTAAAAGGTTGAGTTGGAGATAGTCTAATGGAGGTTTTTATAAGAACCTACTTTTCATATTTTTTTTTATGTTATATCATTTCTAACTCATAATAACTCAAATAAAAGTTGATATATGTGTATATATTTACGGAATTAAATAAAACTTTGACTAAAAAGTTGGCGTATAAATTGGAAATGTTATATATTGGTAATTTTAGTCTAATCACAAAAAATATATATATTTAAAATACAAAAAGTGGTTGTTAAAATTATACAAATATATGTCAATTTTAGCTTATAAATACATATCAATATTTAAAAATAAATTAAAAAAACTAAAAAATTATCTACAAAAATGTAAATACAATAATATGATAATAAAAGTTACATTATAATACGGATAGATATATGAAATTTGATTGAATTCATTCGTCTAACACTAACAACCTTAGTAACTCATTCACACATGTACGATCCATCAACACTCCTCAATTGCTCCTTGTAGTAGGCTATTAGTGATTACTTATATTATATGAATATTATTTGAATGCTTGTATATGTAGGGATAAATGGTACAAGTCAAATCAACATGTTACGTGAATGCTCGATAGTTTTGTGAATATAGATCTAGTTGGTAACAATTTTAATTTAAATAAATTTCTAACTTCAACTTTTCTGATGTTGGTACAATACTGTACCAACATGTATCAAACAAAAAAAGTTGGTATCAAGTATAGTTGGCTGGTATATGATAAACAATTTTGCATACCAATTATAATTTGTTGGTACATGATATATGAAAAAGAATATGGTATCCTACCATGTTCACCTTATAATTAAATGTATAGGAATACCATGTTCACCTTAAAATTAAATGTATAGGAGTACCATAGTATCATACCATTTTCACCCTAAAATAAATGTATAGAAGAGAAATAATATTTGTAAAATGTACTGAATATTTAATAATATAATTTATGTTATAATATTTAAAATAGAAAAGTTGTTGGAAATGAACATCAATTTTCTTTGAGGATTTTGTAAAATCGAGAGTCTTACCCGATAAGCGAGGACGACCACTCTTACCATGGTTAGTGCTTACCGGGATAAATTGTTGCATACGATGCGTTTTAGTGAATAAAATATTACCCGGTAAATAAGTGATAGTGTTAAATTTTACCGATAAGTGCTTACCCGATAAGTGTTTAGGTAAACGGCCCCTAAATTAGGTATGTTATTATTTAAAAAAATTATTGAGTGTGAGTAACCCCAACTTTTGGACATAATCCGCCCTGCATACAACCATAAATTATAATAGTTAAAGAAATAAAAAATGCATCATGCATAAGCATACATGATATCGTGGAATAATGGCCCTTAAGTTTCTAGTGATAAAGTGGGCCTTGGCCCAATATTCGATTTCAATGGTTATTGTTTGCTTAAAAATCATGTTTCAAATCTAAAATTTTGTCACAATCTTATTTTAGATCTGTAACCAGAAATTTGGATAACGGTAGTATTTGGATCGGTTTATATGCATCTCCACTAATTTTACATGTCTTAAAACTAATAGTCAGACAAACCTCTAATGACGTTAAAAAACTCGAAACTTATGAAAGAAGCAGATCCAAAATCTTGTCGATTAAACCACCCCCAAAAATTTCACGACAGATATAACTTGTAAGACGGTCATTCTTTTCACAACGCATCTGAATTTTAACACATATTTAGATGTACAACAATGATGTAAGTTTGGTTACCAATACGCATCATAAACCTATGGGTTTCTGTTTCTCCAACAATGAGTGAAGCCCACTTTGTACCTCTTTCTAAAGTTTGATTTTCAAGAAAAAAAGACCCTTTAACCGACTTTTTATGTATTATTTCTATTAAAAAAATATGTATAAAAGTCTAATTATGTCAACTTTTGCTGTGTATCTATTAATTTTATTTACTCGAATCTTATTTTCATTTAATATTTGATTGAAGATGATTTAAATTAAAAACCTTATCACTAACAAAAAAAAAATACGTATCTCAATCTTCAACCGTTTAAAAGTAATCAATGTCGGTCAAATAATGACTACAATTCCACCATGTTTTTTTCTTTTTGATGTCACTTTTCTTTTTCCGTTGACTACAACGCCAAATTGAATACTATTATGTTTTATTTTCTTTGCATGCTTTGTATTTTTATGTAGCTTTTTTATTTTAAAATCATTTCGAATGCTTTAATAAAAGTAGATGAATGACATTTTGTAACGAAATATGAATTAAACAAAAGGATGTATATAATCTTGCCATATAAATTATATTTTTAAGAGTAAAACACGTTTTTTTCAATCCCATGGTATGTAAACCCTAAACCCTACACCACAAGAGTGGTACCTGATTGGTTTGAGCTTGGCTCCAAAGATCAAAAATACCAGAAGGTCTCCGGTTCAAATCCAAAGAGGAATAAAAATTCTCTTGTGGCCACGGAGGTTCAAATGCGGTGACTCCGGGCTATCTACAAAGCAGGTGGTCGCCCTAGGATTAGTCGACTCGCATAGCGGGTTGGATATCCAGGTTCATCAACAACAACAAAAAAATGCGTTATTGATTTGTAATTCATTATTCTTTTCATTCCTGAATCTAAAACCTATCTTTAACCTGGAGTCACTACAATACAATGTGAAAGTATTCTCTATATAATTATCATTTAGAGAAAGACTAGAACTTCAGAGTACTTTTATAAACTCCAATTCTATGGTTTTCAATCATGTTACAAACTAAGGTAAACTGGTACGAGAATAAAACAGCAACTCAAAGCTATTAAAATCATCCAACAAATCAAATCATTTGACAAATTCCATTGAAATATATATTAGAAGAGGAGAGTTGTACTAAACTAGGTTATTACAAGGAAATTGTACATCAATACTAAAAACATCTCCAAAAACACCCCTTCTAATAATGACAAAAATAGGAGAAATTCTGATGGTAAAAATTGATCAAACCAGTCATTTTGAACAAACATTATTCACTTTTTAGCCTACTTTTATTCAATTTGACCAGAATAGCCAAGTTTTTACTAGTCTCCATATCGCAGATGCACTTTTTTTAATTAAATATGATTCTACTGGAGTGGGCTTGCGAAATTGGCGTAATTGCTTGCGGAATGGACGTGGCGGCTTGCAAAATAGTCCACCAGAATCATGTTTTATTCATAAAGAAGTACATTTAGGGGCATTTTTCCTAATCACTTACCTGGTAAGAGGTTATCGGTAAAATTCAACTCTATCGCTTACTCATTAGGTAAGATTTTAGTGCGCAGAAACGGCATCGTATGCAACAATTTACCCGGTAAACGCTAACCATGATAAAAGCCGTCACCCTTTACTTATTGGGTAACACTTTTAGATGGTGTTTGTTTTTTAAGAGGTGTTGAAATCTGATTTCATTTATGATTTATAAGAGATGTCTTAAAATCTGAAATCTGGATTAGTAAGATTGTTTGTTTTTACATCAGTATCCTGAAATTTGAATCGGCCAAACTACTAAAAATATATAAAAGAACAATAGTTTTCTACAAAAGTATAAAAAATAAATAGTTTTTGCTAACAAATCTCTTCGAGCCCTCAAAATATGAACCATTTGATAGAGGGCAAATTAGGATTAACAGGTATTAAGAGATACGTTTACCACTTAAAATTTCAGAGGACATTTAGAGCTTTTAAGTTCTTATTTTAGAAATAAAACAAATGCTCTTAATATCTAAACCTTTGAACAAATCAGACTTCAGATGTATTAAGAGGTAATTTTGAAAAAACAAACCAACCCTTAGTCATTGCTTCACTCTTACCAGGTAAGATTTTTGGTCCATGTCATATTCTTCCGGTAAGGTAATATGACTTGGTAAGCGCCTACCCGGGTTAGCATTTGGTAAACAGCCCTTAGCAAGTTCCGAAATGGACACTTGCATAATCATTGCTATTTTGATTCAAACATGAAAAAGTTGGCTAAAAAGGTAAAAAGATGTTCATCCAAAATGGCTAGTTTTGTTAATTTCCCTAATAAATATCATCCATACACACAATTCTAGTTTTGAAGTGTGTCAAAAAGTGAAGGTTTCTATTACTAAAATGGAAGTGATTTACTTGACACTTGCAATCAAAAAATCTAAGAGCATATAGTTCAACCTAGATGCACATGGAGGTAATACAGAAAGGAATAATTGGGCTTCAAGGAAGTCAGCATCTAATGCTATTTTTCTTTAACTAAAAGTACGAAGCAATATCAAAGGGACCCAAACAGAATAAAGCTAGCTACAAGTGCTATATCATGAGAAAAGAAACAACAGGTAGCAGATTGCCTTTAATAGCAAATAATTACAGATTACATTGTCATATTGAATGATATAGTTACTCATGTGTTCTAACAGGGACATAGTATAAGAACAAAAATGCCAACAAATCTCAATAGAGTGGAAATGCAAACATGCAGGAATCAATTGGACAAGTACAAGATATGTAACACAAAAGATTAAAGAACAAATACAGAGCAAACATGTATTATTAGTAAGGAGTAGGATAGTAGTACCCGGCTCCGTTTACAGGTGGAACCCCGTAAGGCATCATGGGTGGTTGTCCTGGAGCCACATATCCACCGCTATTGATCTTTGCCAGACTAACTTGACCTTGCATTCCATCCCTAGCATACTGTTGCCAAACCATTTGTTCTTGCACAAGCAAATGCTGTTTCTTCTCTATATCTGCCATTTGGACGTAAGCCGGTGGAGGGACACTCAAAGATGCTGCAAACGGATCTCCCCCAACCGTTTGAACAGACCCATCAGGAGCCGGGAGTGCCAAAACAGGCGTAGCTGTCTTCCCTGGCAATGCCACGCTGCTAGCACTGCCTCCGGTTAACTGACTGGTGTTCACATGTTGCCTCACCATTCCTTGGTCATACATTCCGTTTAGCAATAAAGGGTCAAGCCCACCACCCATTGCCGCCTTCTGTTTCTCTAGATTACTGGCGGTTTCCACCAATGCAAGTTCCCAATCGGCTTTTCCAGTTTCTGCAGCTGGATTCTGCCAGGCAGAGATCACTTCAGCCTCCCCATTGGATCCAAATGCTTCCCAGTTTCCATTCCCCTTGTTTGCTGCTGGACCAGCAAATAAGGCCAAAGCAAATCTATTTCCTTGATCATCAGCTGTCATTGCCTCCTCTCTTAGGTCCACTAAATCACCAGTGTGTTGCGGTTTAGGCTTAGGGGGCTCAACCTCAGGAGGCGGTGGGGGAGCACAAGTCTCTGGTGCTGGCAAAGCCTTTATTTCATTCATATCGGGAACTGGCTCTTCCTCTTTAACTTGTTCCACAACCTCAGGTTTCTTCTCTGGGCTTTTCATAGCTTTTGCTCTATCTCTCACAAATTCTTCCAGTGTCTCTAGCAATTTTCCAGTTATCCTCTGAACTTCTGGATACTCTGATGATCTTGCAACACCCATATCCTTGCACCAATTATAGAAACCTACCAGCTCATCAATCTGTTTTGCGGCACCAGCATAAGCATCAAATGCCTTCACACAATCATGATGTTCCATATCGAAGAATCGATCAAGCAAGATGGCTAAAACTTCACATATATCAGCGTAAAGCTTGAAACTCTCTTGCACAACAGGGTATAGGGCAACCAACACCATCCTGCTGTTCCTTGCCAGACCAGTAGGTCGGCATGACAATACTCGGTCCAACAGCCTCTGTAAATGCCCCATCTTCCCAAAAATCCTCTCAGGTTTCATATCCCTCAATGGAGTCGCATCTTTCTTCTCCTGAGATGATCCACCAGATCCCTCTCTCACATCCCCAGAAGATCTTGACTTCCTCATATTTCCATAACCAGGTTCATCACGAAACTCGTTGTAATCATAATCATATCCACGATTTGGTGGCGATTTCCACCGTTCTTCCCTGGACTTCTCGGGGTCTCCACTGCCGGCGCCGCTTTGTTTCCTCTCATAGGCAATCAAATCCAGCCTCTGATCCAAGTAAAACCCATAAGTCCTCACAAAAGTGGAGTGATCCCATGAATTCGAGTGTGCCTCATCACGAAAGTCCGACATGTTAAGCAACCTAGTTCCTCTCCTAGTAGCATACATGATTTCCTGCTGGAAAACCGAGTCACCATCATTCAACAGCCGGTGGATGAGAACTAAGCACTTCAGGGCAACGATCCAATCACGAGTCTTGCTCAACCTTTTAGATACAGCATGAACGCAGGCACTCACGTAGCCTCGTGAGTATGATGTGAGCTGCAGGATCTCTCGTATGTACTTCTCACCGGCAGGATCATCATCGTGACTAGTGGCTTTCACTATGGCAACTTCTAGCTCCGGTGCCATATTGCTAGCCACCTTCGCGATTCCAATGCTTGTTTGATCCTTCACCGCTCCAATAGCCTTCCGAAAGGTTGTCGGCGCCATTGTTCTGTTTCTTCGTCTTCAGCAAAAACCCTAAAAAACAAAACCAGATCTACGATAATACAAAATAAGTACATTAAATCATCCGCACAAAACCGGATCTCGTAAGTTAGACAAGAATTAAACGGTAAACAAATTAGACTCTTAACATTGTTCTAGATTTCTGGCTGTCAAAAAGTAATAACTAAATCTCAAAAACTCGTAGTTAAAGCACACATGACGATCATTGATTAGCTTGTCATAAAACAAAAAAATCAAACACAACTCATTAAATATCAACATAGAAATCAAGCACGCTCATAAATTTTTATATAACAACATCAAATCCAAATAATTAATCACCAATGCAGTTCACTAATTTTACTAAACATCACCAAAGTCTAAAAGCGTCCAAAATGCCAACTCAGACCGTTTTAAAAGGAATTTCGATTCGTACAACACCGTACCGTTTATATCTGCAGCAGAAATACCAGAAGATTAGTAGAGGTGATAGGGAAAGTGGATGAACAGATCTGTTGACTTGGATAGAGAAACGATTAGATCTGAAGTTGACGCAGACACATCTGGGGTGTATCCTGTATATGCTTCGCCGGATTTTTCTCCCTGTCTCTCTCTCTCTTCCTTAGCTGGATTTTCTGCAAAGAAAAAAGAAAGGGAGGAAGGAAGGGAACTTACAGGTGGGGGGAGTTCGGGTTGGTTGAATCGGTGAGATCCAGAGAGAGAAAGTGGATTCAGTGTGTGTTGTGTGTGAGAGAGAAAATCGGGAGGTGTCGGAAGTTGGCTTGTCTGAATTGGAGGTGTATGCTATAACCATCTATAAAATTCATTATCTCTATTCAATACTAGTATTCCACGTCAATATTTTAATGTCACATTTAATTTTAAATAGATATTTTTATATATTTATTATATATATAATGACCTTCGATATATTATTTTAAATAATAAAAACACCACCATAATTAAATATTTTTTATATTTAAATTTCATAATATCATTTCATGTCCTAAGATCTTCATTTTATATGTATACATATATAAATATAGATCATTACATAGGAAGATCTCTCCAAAAAGTACGTTATAAACTATAGTTTTCATTATCGATGTTTGTCAATATTATGTTATTTTTGTATTTATTTAAATAATTTATGTGTGTATATATATATTCTTTTTGTAAAATGAGGGTCTTATATTCTAGCCAACTAATTTTTCAATGAAATACTCTTTTAATATACTAGATGTATTGTGCATTCAATCATTTTCTCATATTTGTAAGATAACAAAAATCATAGCACAATTCAAAAAAAAAATTAAATCTCATAATATCATTTCATATGTCGAGTTAACAAAAGAAAATTGTAAAAAGAGGTTGGCAAAAGATAACCAAAATCACAACATACTTCAAGATTTTAAAATCATTAAATCTAATAATTTTTTTTTTATATTTTGTATGGTTAATATTTTTTTGCTAAAAAACGGTTGGCCAAAATGAGTCAACTCATGAGCATGTAGGGTCGGTCAAAATGAGTCATTAACGTGAATTTAGAGGATCAGTCAAAAGGAGCCAACCCCATGAATTTCCACAAAGATATCTCAACCTCCCTTCATATATCCCCCATTGATTGTAAATCTTTCATATCTCCATCAATGCGGGATATACAACCACAATTCAAGAAATAAAAAACACTCTCTTCTTATGATGTTATTTCATTCATTGTAAATTTTACTCTAAGATATATAAAGATAAAGATAAGAATTAGTAGTTGGTTTTGCCATCTGGTTGGCTTTGATTTCAACCATGGTTTTTCATTACTATAATTCTCATGTTTAGAGTTATTTAAATGTAAATTATATATTTTCATTGATATTGTTTCTTGTAACGAAAAGAATTTCATACATTTTATAATATTTTTGTCGCAAAAATAATGTTTTGACATTAAAAATTGTTCAAAAATGGTTAGTTGCAAGCAAATGTGCAATATTAACTGTTATTATGAGTGTACATTTCATACATTTTATAATATTTTTCTAATTTATAAATAATTATTTATTTGATGATGAAAAAAATATTGTAGTGCATTAGTTTTATTTATATCATGGAGATGGTCCCTCTTAATAACACTGTTAATTAAAATATATTAGTTTTAAGGACCTTAATCTTTAATTTATGTAAACTATAGAGACCAAATTTTCATTTAACTCAAGATCATAATATAAATACAAGGTTTGACGAAATTTTAAATTATTTTAACTAATTGCAATATTAGACCCGAAAAGACGCTAAAAATATAATGATTTAAAAAATAAATGAGATATTTATAAATTGACTTCAAAAATGTAATCACTTTTACAAAAAGTAGTATTTCAAATTTATTGGGTTATTTTAATCTTTTCAAAATTATGTAATTAAAAATTTATAAATAAAATAGAAAATTAATATCATGTAACTCACAAAGTCATAGTTATTTAAAAAAATCATTCTTAATATCTATACTATATTATAAAACATTTGACAAAAACTCTTAATTTTTTATGCATGAAGTACTGTTTATTGATGCATATTACTTAAAATTCAAGCTTACGAGTAAATTATGCGTAAGTACAACTTCGTAAAGCTTCATGTTTAAATTCGTGTAACTAACTGCAGATAAACATAATTTTAGAGGATAAACATCTCATTTTAATTATAAAATTCCTAAAATATAATTAATATAATCATTGAGTTCTAATAAAATACTTAATTATGATCTTAAATAAATTATTTTATTAAACCAAAAATAGATTAGTTCGTTTTTAAAATTCAATTAAATCATAATAAAATTTTTAATTAAATAAATTACACACAAAAAAAAAAACTTTAAAATAGTTAATTTGATATTAATATCGCTTATTTTCATCAAAATTTTATAATATCTTCAAATTTATATTCATTCAAAAATAAAAACATTTTCTTTTTCTCAAAACCATATAAAATCGCATTATAACATTGATAGACCCAAAATATAAAATGAAACATTTAAATCAAGATATATCTCGCTATATTGTGCGAGTACCCTTCTAGTATTTTTTAATAAATAAATCACCTCACTTTTAAAAATTAGTTACTTGCATCATTTTAAAATTTTACTATATTTTTAAAATATTATTTAGGAGAATTTTTTAATCAATTAGAAAAAAAAATATTCGACTTTATATAACATCATTTAAAAACTTAATTTTTTATTCAAAATTAAACTAATATGATTCCTTTTTAATTTTTTTATCATATGGAAAACAAATATTATTTTTTCTAACTATTTAATCTAATACACACATAGACAGATCAAAGAAGCAAGAGAATTGAAAAAAAACAAAAAAGTGGATAAAAATGAGGGAAATTGATGGCAGATGCCAACTGTGACGATGTGTAGTGACAGAGAGCAGACTATGATGAGGTGAGGGAGAGTGATAGCTTTTGATGTGAGAGGTTTGAATGACATATGGTTTGAGAACAATAACATTAAGTTAGTTATTTTTTACTTTAAAACTTTTTAGCCGGATACCAGTAGCTTTTTTTGGGTTAAAATGATGTAGATAATCAATTTCTAAAAGTTTTGATGACTTTATTTATTAAAAGAAATGTTCAAGTACTTAATTGCTCAAACCCAAAAAGCTTAATGGTTTATTTATTTAAAAAAATTAGACTTAATCGTTCATAAAGAGGATGAGACTTAAAGGCTATTCGGCAAGAGCTTAATGAGCTGTATAATAGATATGACTTATTCGCATAACCATATCTAGCCATCCGATATGGGCTTATCTAGTCAGCCCATGACGAAATCGCTTGGCGAAAAAACTTGCGTCCTTTCTATCGAGCCATATCTAGTTGTTTATCCCCCTTTCTTTCATAAAAAAAATTCTCGAGAACACAATATAAAACTTAATATAGATAAAGGTAAGAGAAGAGATAGTAATCATGCTTTTCTTACTGTTTTTAATTATAAATTTAAATAAAATTACGTACGTTCTTAAAAATTATGTCAAATTATATTTTAATTTTATAATAACAATTTAAAAATTAATAATAATCTCTTCATCAATTGTTTTCGTTCTCGTTCTGTATCCAGATAAATCTTTTACGTTGTCAATTTGATTAAAGCTGGAAAAAAAATGAAAAATGAGTTTTCAAGAATATATAATATATAAACAATAAATATATACATTTAAATATATAAACTATAAATAATAAAAATAAAATGGTATGGTATTTTATTGTATCTAAGATTCACGACAGCCCTGAACACGTGACTCGTGCGGTGGCATATTAGCCAAGTCAAAATCCAACCGCGCATAAATCCAACATTAATCAATTTAGTTACAATTTCTATAAATAATAATAATAATAACAATAATAATACAATTATTTTCAAAAATTAAATAAAAATAAATTATAAAAGATGCATGCAAACTATCACAAGTTCATACAAAATAAACTATAACAAAAATGACATGTCGATTTTGTGTATTAATATTTTAATTTATTTATTAATTTAGTTAGTTATAATTTTAAATTTAGAACGAATTTAAATCCTTATTATAACTATTTATTATAAGGGATGGACAAAGGTGGATCCATAACCGATCCCAGATCTAAGGTTCCCTATAAGATTGGGTTCTGGTGAGAAAAAATATTTACCCTTAGATCAATCATAGGTGAAGAGAACCATTAGATCAATTCTCTTCTAAAACATAATTTATGGGTTCTTTTGGAATTAAAAATGATTAAATGTTCAAATTTCATCTTAGACTTCTCATGTTAACTCTTATTCTCATGCGATTCTTCATCTATCAGTATATGTTGTGAACATTATGTATACATATATGCATGTGCAAATGTACAACCAAGTTGTTGGCTGGTCCTAAATAAGTCCTTGACTAGTTTCGGTCTTAAGATCTAGCTAATCCTTTTCATAACCGGTTTCTGTCAGAGATTAACGCAAATTCCATACACAACCGTAATCATCGGTCCAAGGTCACTCCCAATGGTCGTGAGCTTTCCATAGCTAGTCTCGAGCCAGGCTTGGGCTTTGAGGCTTAATTGCCCATCTCTAAATTATTATAACCACTTGAGTTGTAATGCACTAGTTAAGCCTTAGGAGGATGTAATGGAAGATCCCATCTATCAAGAAAACCACACGCTTCCAAAACCCTTTTGGCCGTGGAGGTTCACCTAGAATGATAACTCAAGGCCACTCGTGGTCGCCCGAAGATTAATCGGTGCGCATAAGCTGTCCGAGAACCAACAGTTACCAATAATAATAATAATAATAATATATTTAGTTTCATATATTAAAAATGACACACAACACATCTTAGGAGTCGTTTATCAAACACTTACCTGGTAAATGCTTACCGATAAAATTTAACACTATTATGTACTTACCGGGTAAGATTTTAGTCCACTAAAACGACATAGTATACAACAATTTACCCGGTAAGTGCTTACCGTGATAAGAGTCGTCGCCCTCATTTACAGGGTAAGACTTTTGTTCCTTGTCTCGCTCTTACCCGGTTAAATCATTGGTCCTTACTATATTCAATCGGTGTGGTAATGTTACCTGGTAATCATTACCCGGGTAAGCGTTTGGTAAACGGCTCCTTATTCTTTTGAGTGGTCAATCGAGCAGAAGAAAAAAACAACCGACTCCCTAACCTTCTATATTTTGGAAGTTTTTTTTATTAACCTAGATATCCAACCCACTATGCAAGCCGACTAATCCCAAGGCGACCACCTGCTTTGTAGATAGCCTTGAGTCACCGCATTTAAACTCAGGTGGAATCAACCCATCTAAAAGTGATTTCCCCAAAAACTTATTTAGTCAAAGTAGATATACACATATTACACACAGCTTTCGAATATTATTACAAAAAAGACATACAAGAAAGAAACCTGTTTTTATTGGTAGCATAAGTTTACAAACAACTATGAACAATAGCCTAGCCACAGGTTTTTATTTATATTTTTGTAAATTGTGGGTGTTCAGGTCAGCTTGTATGCACCTCAACTAATTCAATAGTGCCCTGGAGAACATTCCGGAAAGTCCCTACTGGTCTTGACAGGACTAGAGCTTGTGACTTATGGGGAGGATCCCCAAAAGCCTAAGCCTAGATAGAAGTTCGGCTTTTCTTGGGCGAGTCTATATGAATAGGTACATGTTCCGGTGTCTTCTTTACCCGCCATAAGTAAAAAACGGAGGCTATTATGAAAATCGCGGCTACACCTCCAAGCGTTATCCCAACGATCATTCCTACTTGCTTCTTGTTGTCGTTGGAAGAACCGGTGCCGATGGATGCTAGCAAAATAAAACAAGATTTATGTGGCAAGAAAAATATCAAGATATTGTCCACGTAAAGTTAGTTGTTGTACAACTGTCAAATCGTTATTAATCTTTTATGTCAAACTAAAAAACAAATCCGACCAAATAAATACAGTATACCCCACTCAAAAATAGGGTAATAGGGTATAGCCGTATAGGGTGGGATGTACTTGGAAGGCAAAAGCATCCTCCACCTGAAATAGTAGAACGACTGTTTCCATAAAGTCCCCAAACTCGTACAATAGAGTGAGTTAAACCGTGATGTCAAAATTATGTAATAAGTAACTTTTATAAAAATAACTACATAATTGAGTGCCAAGAAAAACTAACCTCGTGAAACATGAATAGCCGAGATTAACGGACCAAACGTGCTCTGAACCGGAATGCAGCAAGTTCCTTTGCCCGCCCACACCAAATGAACGTCGATGATCGTGTTTGTTACGTTGGTCTCAAATGATCTCACCAACGCTCTTTTTGATCCACGTGCTTCCTCCTTCACGTTGAAATCTTGAAGAACTCTTTCACCCTTTTCAAATTTGCATAAACGTTAGGAGTAGTTGTTAATGACTATTTGAAAATTTGCATATCCACTTGAACATGTGATGACCAAGTGATTCGTATTCATTTACAAAATAAACAAATGTGAATGCGGAAATGGTCATTTTCATATATAATAAAGTTCCAAATCAGCTTAGACTTGGACCTATTTTACTCCGTATCCGTCAAAATCTCTCCTCTCCTCGAGGGATCTTTTGAAAAGTAATCTAACGGGGTTTCACATATTCTTATATAGTATCAGAGTCAAAGTCTACCACTCTAGAGCAATTTGTACCTGTCTAGCCCCCTCTCGACACTCTCAGACAATCTGTGCCCATCTAGCCTCCATTAGTGGGGGCATGTTAGAGTCCTACATTAGGTAGATTTGGCCATATTCTCCTCAATATATACCTCCCTTCTCTCATAAAGGACTCTTTTGAAAAGTAATAAAGGGGTTTATTCTCATAGTAGATGCAAATATTTAGGAACAGATTCAATGCATCGACTTTACAAAATATCATTCTTGATTTTTCATTGCAAACAAACTGTTGTTTCTGCAAAAAGTGATTAGTTTGCAATGAAAGATGTTGTATTTATATTATAAAGTATGTACCTGGATATAAACATCAAATAAGCGTCTTCCGAGGCCTTTCCATGACTCAGAATCATCCATTTGTATTTCAGAAAAATGAAGTTCAACGTTGTACCTCGCATTTCTCAAGCCCAGGCCGTAATACCTTAATGAGTTTGGCGAGATTCTTGCTGTTTTATACAATTCAGATTCTAAAGTACCTGTGATCTGAGAGGCGGTCTGTGCCGTGTATTGAGGCCCATTTGGGTTTGATATAAAACTGCCGGTGTTGCTTACTGCCCATTTATTATTTGAAGCCGTGTAGACTGATGAAGCTCCGAGGGTTTCTGAATCATCATCGAATCTAACACCGTATGAAGATGATTGTTGAGAGCCACCACATTTGACAGCAAAAGAATCTACAGTCAAATGTGTACCAAATTCGATGTTAAAACTTACATGTCAGAGTGTCATGTCAGCTAGACTTGGACTCTTCTCTCATCAAGGTCCGTTTTGGAGAGTGATATGATGGATTGCACTTATTCTCACACAATATTAAAGCTAAGGTTTATCTAGGGGCTTCTTGGAGTCCCTCATCGTTTGGACTTAGACGATTTCTTCTCAATATTATGTTATAACCCCCCTTCTCTCCTAAGGGTTTTTTTAGAGAGTAATTTGATAAATGATATTCTCACGGTCGAAGATTTTGGACTTTTTAACTTATTTTTTTGTTCCACCAGATCCTTCAAAACCTTCTCCAAAATAGAGAAAATAGGAGAGAGGATAAAGATCTGAAAATTTAAAGAACTCCAGCTTGCACGCACATCGACTAATCCCAGACTTGAAGAACAGCCAAGAAAATCCCATTGACCTTACAGGACTCGAACCTTTGAGGAGAATTCCCAAAGGCCCGAGTCCTATTGTCAGTTGAGCTAACCCCACAAGGTTAAAGATAAATAAAGGTTGAAGGTAAATACATGGTCTTTTTTGTTGTTTCCATTGATGAAGTTGAATGTATTATCATTTCATATAAACTTTATTTGAAAATTTGTTGGAGCATTAAATGTATTGAATATTTTAATAATATAATTAAATGTTGAATGTAATTTTTTTGGAAGATTTTAACTTTTGCTTCTCCAATTTGGAGAAACTTTTAGAGAATATTTTGAAGATCTCTTTGGCTTCACTATGAATGATGTTCAAACAGAACTTACCGACTGGAACCTTCTCTGTGCACTTGTTACCGCTTAGCAGGCAATCTGAGATTTCGGACGCCTTCCTGCATTGAGTTTTAATAAAAAGGTTAGGCTTTTCAATAGAAAAAATCCAAAGAAAATGGGATTAGATCTGTATGAAGAACACCAAAAAAATTATGATAAGTGGTTTACCCGTCTAGTAAGCCGTCTCCATTCACCAAAGTTCCCACAACATTCCTGTTGAAGAACTATTATGTTTATGCAGTGTTTGAACAATTCATATGTGAATTACAATGTTGTTCAACTCACATTGATCGTCTAATTTTCACGAAATTAGCAGGTAAATTACCGGAGATGGAATTGAAGGAGACATCTCTGTTGCAAGATTATGAAGAAAAAAAACAGATAAATACAAGACAACAAAAGGTAATTGAAGACATCATTTCAGAACTTACAATGCCCGGAGCTGTGGAGTTATGATATTTGATGGGATCTCCCCATTTAATCTATTGCTTCCGAGATACCTGAAAACTCATATAATTGTAGTCTAATCGAAGACCTGCAATGGTTTGATGTGAAAAAAGAGAGTGAAAGACTTACAAGAAATGCAACGATTGGGAGTCTTGGAAAGAGTTCGGTATGGCGCCTGTTAATTTGTTGAAGCTCAAGTCCCTTCAAAGTGTTTTCAAACTCAAGAACTTGAGACAAGATTATGATCTTACCACATGCATGACATTTGGCATGCCAGGGGTGCGTTTGGTATATAGATATGGCAGAACAAAGACTTGTTTCACGTTTGCCATGACATTAGACTGGGACATGACAAGATTGTATTTTTGTCCCACCTGCATTTTTGTTCCACCAAAATTGGTGGAACAAAAATCATGGAAATGTGACAAGATTAGTAAATTCGACACTACCCATGTCAGTTTAAAACCCTAAAACCTTCCATAATTCTTTCACTGCCTCCCTCATTCTTGCCCTTCCAGTCATGTCCAATCCTATCTACCTACCAAACGCAAGCTGTGCAAACTGAATCTAGTATATATAGAAGTGAACTTACAGGGTTTGTAAGTCAGGGAAGGAGCCAATTTGTGAGGGAATTTCTCCAGCCACTCGGGAGCTTCTCAAGGAACTATAGACAATATCCGAGTCACATCAGATATTTCTCAAACTTGTACTAATTTGGGAATTATTGACTATGGAAACCATCATACTAGATTAACAACTAACCATTGTTCTTACAAGAAAATGCAAAAAAGAAAAGAAAGTTCAAATAAAACAAAAACAAGAATACTACTTTATGCAAGAATGAGCAACTCAAACAAATTTTGGAAATATAAATGCAAATGTAAAGGACCATCGTGTTTGGCACTTCCTATACAAAATCGCTCACTCACTGCAATTGTGCATTTCTTTTTGCATCTATACAAGAATGCTAGTTTGTTTGCAATGAAAACCAAGCACGATGGTTGAAAGAAGGAACAACTAGTTGAATTTTAGAGATGTAAGACTAATAATCAAAACAAAAGTAAACGAGAAAGCAGTGAAGTCATACAGAATCGAAAGGCTTGTCAAGTTAACCAAGAAATCAAGTGTCGAGTCTTCACCACCCAGATCACCAATTCTCCTATACAGCAAAAGAAATGAATGAATAGATTGGATAGCTTATCATATGAGCAGAGAACCCAGAAACAAACTATTCGTTCATGATGAAAATTATTCATAATGAAAATACATGATAAAATGCATTATATCATGAATAATGAAAATGCATGATATTCAGGATTATTTAGGGTTATTCATCATGAATAATGCATGAAATAGTTAGTTCCTAGGTTCTCAAAGTATTTATGGTTCACATTTGAGCTGTTTTGTTCAGCAGAGTAATCCTCCAAATATTTCTAAGCAATCTTACAGGTCTTCTAGTTTCGTCAAAGCAGCATAACTGCTGGGAATTGGGCCTTCAAGAGCTGTTCCTTCAAGTCTCCTGTAAGGGCAACGCTTAGTGAAAACAAATGAAAATCCATTACCGTAAATCGATTATTTCATAACCAAAGAGATGACAGATAGTCATGCATACAGTGTTGTTAGATTCGTAAAAGTTCCAAAAAACTCGGGAAGCTTTCCAGTGAAACCATTGTCTGATGCCCATCTGTTGCAGCAAAAACATGTTTAAGATAAGGAAAATCTTCGTACTCAAAAGTAAATGAATGTTGAAAGCAGTGAGTTACACAGTTTGAAGAGATTTCAAGCTTGATAGTTCTTGAGGAAATGGCCCGCTCACTCCACTGCTGTCTATATACCTAATTGATCAACAACATATAAACTCAAACCCTTAAGTTGATCAAAGGAAGAAAGTTGAAAATTAGTTATTTTGACCTCAAAATTTGAACCGTTTTAGAAAAAGATGATGAACAAGTGACATATGTAACTTATGGATTTACTTACAGTTGCTCTAAGGAAGTCAAGTTTCCTAAATCAACAGGTAAGGGTCCATTGAAATTGTTTGAACTGAAGCTTCTGAACAACGATATAAATTCATCACTAGTAGTGTAAAAGGAAAATCAAAATGAATGATTGAATGTGAGAATTGAAGATTTTTACTAACAAGGATTTCATCTTGGTAAGATTGCCAAGCTCCATAGGCACGAGTCCGCTAAAATTGTTAATGCCAAGACTCCTGATGATTAACAATTGTGCAAAGTCAAGTGATGCTATTAAATCAGAAGTAAAAATAAGTTTGGGAGAAGATTGAGATGTACTAACAAATATTGCATTTTGAACAACTTTGCGATTCCTGGAGGGATAGAGCCACTTAGTATGTTCTGTCCGAGGTTCCTGCAGCAAGTTAAAGTGTTAAAACTCAAATAAATTGAGTTATGCATAACTTTTGAGGTCAAACAAACTCATTTTTAACATCGCAATCATACGAATTCTTTGGTTTCCATGAGAACATTTGATAACTACATCCAACAGTATAACAAGATGGTGTCAGCTGTGTAACAAAATCCATAGCAATTTTCAAGTTGAAATGCAATATCTTTGACCTCACAAGTATAGAACTTATTTCTTCTATCTCTAGAAACTAAAGTCGTTAGTGTCTCACAGGTCCATGAGCTCAGTGAGTTGAAAAAGTTCTGGTGGGAGTTCACCAGAAATGTCCAAAGCATATATCTTCCTGCAAGGACAAAAATGAAAATCTCAACCTTTCATCAGTGTAAACTAATCTGTTATCTGTTCCAATATTGACAAATCATTTTCTTTACAAATTGCAAAGTGAAATGCTCGTTTGAACGTTAGTAGTAGAAAGAAGAGCATAAAGAACTGACAAGTGAGTTATGCGACAGATGTTGGCAGGACAATCACAAGCAATTCGCGGGTTTGCAGTCTCTGCAGCCCAAGATGCACCTTGAGTGCAGGGGTCAGTAGTCAAGTTCAGCTTTGAACTCAAACCCCAGTAATCTATCAGCTTGTTGATAGCAGCCACTATGATCACAACAGAGAGAAAGAGTCAGCTTAACTGAATACTTTATATACAAAGAGATACAATACACACACAGACCTTCACTCGGTTCGGTGGTTATTTGAGCGTCAACAAGTTTATGTATGGAGAAAACCAAGAAACAGAAGCTTAGAATCCCCATAACTAAGCAATGAACGTACACAGAGAGAGAGAGAGAGAGAGATAAGAAGCAAGGAGGGCTAAAAGCTCATGAAGTTTCAACTTTAGATTCCCAACTCATCTAAAAAGTTGTAGTATACACCAAGACAGTTTTTGTTTCATTTATATGCTATAATTGGACCATTTATTCTCAGGATATTTTGGAAACTTCTTTTGGGTAAGCTATACTTGGACCATTTATTCTCGGGATATTTTCGAAACTTCGTTTGAAGGGTAATCTAACGGGGTTGCAGGTATTCTCAAACATATATTTGGTATATGAGAAGTCTTATGGTCAATGCACAAGGTACAACGGTGTGAACTAAAAAGCCATGCCTTCAACACACAGAGACAAACAAGTGTTTTACCAGGTCAAGTTCACATCATCATTATCATTATCATCTGTTTTCTCTAATAATTTAGTCATCTTTCTTGATCTGTACGATATCATCAATTACCAGTGGCTAATAGGGAGACATGGAAATGGAAATAAGGAGTTGGAACACTTCATTCAGATCTTGACTGTAATCTTGATTGTTTTCTTTATATGAATCATGTTGATATCCACTGAAGTCAGTAAACTATAAATTCCATCCCTGGAGTATCCACCAACATGCAGGTTTAGTCCATTAAAATTTCCTTTTGCTCTTTTGGCCCAAAATCTACTATCTTGTCCTATTTTGGTCTGTGAGCCTAACAGTGTTAACAGATCTCCATTAAATAAAGTATGTACATAGCATGGGCTATTTAGCTAGAGGACCTTAAATTGGAAGCATGACCTTTTATTAGCATGTGTCATGTATGCCCAAGAAAATAGCTAAAGCTACATCATATGACAAGCTCAAATCACAAGTAACACTTGATATGTGTCAAAACATTAACTAACTCAACCACCAGATAAATGTTAAGCCTTGATAATGCTCCTCATAAGGCATCAGTTCGAGTCCTTAGGACCACTGAGATTTTTCTAATTGTCATCTTCAACACCCATCGAGCTTCACGGTTACACATTCGTGATATGGGTACTTGGATGGGTCCCGGGAAGTCGTCGTGCTACAACCCTTGAAATTTAAAATTAGTAGAGGGTAAATGAAGACAAATAGATAAACCATAAGGATTGCCGGCCTGCCAGTGAACAGACTAAAATACAAGATTAACTTAATTTGGGGGTCGTAGTCCAAGTTGTTTCTTTTAGAAGAATGAAGATCATATTCATTTACTAAGTAATGGGTAATTGTTTAAAGTCTTGATTATAAGTTAACAAAAACTTAAGGACAAAGAAGTCGATTCTTAGTATCTTGCCAATGCCCCAAAAATCTCTCCTGATTGACTGTCATTAAAAGCTACAAAGCTACTAGAGACTCGGTGAGGAATTTTATCAAACAGTTGGTGAGCTCAAGGTGACGTCAAAATACACATCTAAACTTCAAAATTTGATATTTTCTGGATAAATTGGAAACTTGTACAGCAAAAAAGAAACAAAAGTATGCTTATAACAACTGGAAAGTAAAAGAGGAAACCACTAAAAGGGGTATTAAAAAGAAGGTGTTCATCAAAAACCTAATCCTCGTCTCAACCTGATTATATCTCTTCATTACCTCTTTTAACCAATTCTCTGTTAAATTTGATCTGTTCTTAATATAAAATACCCTTATACCCTAATCGTCATTTCTCCTTATATAAGTTCGTTTCCTGAAATTTTGACCTTAATTCTAGCACGAGCAGGTCCAATATCTGTGCTATCTTAATTTACGGGTAAGAAAAACTATAAAAAATGGGTTTTGACTTCGGTTGCTCTCTTTGGTGGACTGTTCTATGTCTACAATGTGTAATTGAAGATTGCCAACAATTTATCGACGACAACACGTCACCAGATGAAGATTGTTAGGGTAGGTTTGCCGTCTAGATTTTTTCTGATAAAAATGGAAGTTGCAATTGCCATCCATCATGTGGTGTTTGAGATTGTTTATAAAAATAATTTCTTCGCTTATTCCGGTGTGACATCAATAATAAGCATTTTTGAATGTTTGGATAAACAACTTATACCGATGTCAAACCGGTAATAAAGAGTTTTTAAATAAGCTAAACCCTTCTGACTTATAATAAATTGATAAATGTTTTTGTAAAAAAACATAAATTATTTTAAATAAGCAATCTCAAACACTACCTATATGATGTGTAATGATAGTATCCATAAATTGTAACTTATTTTTTATAAATTTAAATGAGCAAATATCAATTTAAAATAATGCATTTTCAATGCCCGTGACTTTTTTACAATTAGGTTGGTGGATGCACAAGCATCCGGGACCTTCTAGTGGTCCGTCCCTGTTTTTAATGGAAGTTGAAATAATACACTCGTTACGTTACGACTTTTGTTTTTCAACAACTTTTATGTAATTTATATATAATATTAACCATGATAAGTTAAAAAACCGTTGTTTTAATCTTAACCGTTTAAATCAATCTTTCATATTAAATCTCAACAGTGTAAACTAATGTATTTTACTGCAGTTACATATTAAATTACCTTTTCAATCTACTAATCTACATTCTACGCCCTTCTATGTTTGGTACATATTTTCCCCTCTCTCTCACCATATTATTGTTGGAATTTTGAAGAAGTACAAATCTTGATGCATCATGTATAAGTTTAAAAGCTCCACACAAGATAATTAAAAATGAGACTATATTTTATTTTCAAGTTACACATTATACCATTTTAATTAGTTATTTAATTTACTTTATATCCCTTTTGTTTTTCATTTTACATATTAACATACATAATCATATATTAACTAATATACATTAAAGATTTACGTTTTTTTTCTTCACAAATTATATCATTATAATCGTCTCAACAATACTTTCAAAATAAATCCAATTTTGAATATGTTTGGATTTAATCATATTATATAACAAACTCTATAAATCAATTTCAATTGTATGTGTAGATTAAATCGGTTCCTAAAATTTATTCTCAATTTCAACTTCAATTGATCTAATAATCGTCATTAAATTTCAAAATAAACAAAATCAAGGGCCATGATTTGATTCATAGAGTTTGTAACAATTACATTTTTTGTATTTAAATCCCTCTCTCTTTCTCTTTCTCTTTCTCACACACATACTATATATATATATATATATAGAGAGAGAGAGAGAGAGAGAGAGAGAGAGAATATTTTAGGGTCATTTACTGAAAACTTACCAGGTCACCTTGCATTATTGGATGAACATGACAAAGATTGAGAATCTTAAACGACCAGAGTTGTGTCGTAGTGGTTGAGGTCCTAGGGGCTGTGGTAGCATATCTCATCCAGGGTTCGATTCCAGGCGTACACAATAATTATGTCCAGTAAGTTTATCAAGGTTGATTTCTTACAACAATTTGCCCCAATAAGAGCAATAACAAGGACCAAGAGTTTTGCTCGATAAGTGAGAGTAACGACTCTTACCAGATAAGCACTTACTGGATAAATTGTTGTATACGATGCAGTTTTAGTGAACTAAAATCTTATCTGATAAGTTAAGGGAAAGTGTTAAACTCTTATCGATAAGCGCTTACTATATGAGCATTAAGTAAACGACCCCTTAGTTTTTAAAAATATAATAAAAATCAACATTCATTTGACAAATGCTACAAACACCTCTTCCCCTCCTCCTCCCCCTCCCCTTTTAGCCATTCTAACCCATTTCTAGCATGTTTTTCTTTATTCTCTTTGTATTACAACACTTCTAACATGTATTTCTATCATTTAACATGTCTAAATAGGGTTATATCAGAGGGTGTACCAATGTGTGGTTTCGAATAGGGCCACCAAAAATTTTAGAGCCCACAAACTTTTTTGGGGGCCCAATCATATATGTATTTTGATTTTTAGCCGACATTTTAACTTAGGGACCGTTTACCAAACACTTATCCGGTAAGTACTAATCGGCAAAAATTAATATTATCATTTACTTACCGGGTAAGATTTTAGTTCATCAAAACGGCATCGTATGCAATAATTTACCCGGTAAGCACTTACCGTGGTAAGAGTCGTTGCTCTCACTTACCGGGTAAGACTCTTGGTCCTTGTCTGGCTCTTACCGGTAAGATTCTTGGTTCTTACCATATTCATCTGATAATATAATGTGATTTGGTAAGTGCTTACTCGGGTAAACGTTTGTCAAGTCACATTCCCTTACTGGATGAATATGACAAGTAGCAAGAATCTCACCTTGTAAGAGCGAAGACACAGACTAAGAGTCTTACCCGATAAATGATGGCGAAAACTTTTACCACGGTTAGCGCTTACCAGTAAATTGTTACACACGATGTCGTTTTGGTAGACTAAAATCTTACCCGATAAGTAAACGATAGAGTTGAATTTTACCGTTAAGCACTTACTAGGTAAGTGTTTATTTAAACGCCCTGAAGTTTTACTCTCAATGTCACATTATGATCTCATAAGCACCCAATTCTTTCCCAAACACTATTACATGAGCATATACTACTATTTATGTAATAAAACACAACTCATAGATTTGTTTTTGGATTTCAAGTAATTTCACCCTGATTTCTTAACCTTTTCTTTTGTTCCTTTACGGGTTTGCTCATAAATAGTACGGGAACGCAATGACCACTATCTTTTTTATATGAGCATGTACTGGTGCTCTACAGTTGTTGTTGCTTACTGAGTAATTTCCTCGACCCACGTTTGATTCAAATGTGTTTTGACCTTCACCATTTAACTCTTAAGGCCCATTTGGTTTATACGGGTAGGTAGGATTTGAATTTGAACTCTAATTCGGTCATGTGTTTGGTTTAAAAAAAATGGATTTAAAAAATCGTAGAATTTCAGTGAAATCCCACAATCAACAGGTTTATAAATCTTTTGAAGATGATTCTCATTTCAAATCCATGTCTCATGGAATATTTGTTTCAATTTCTTTGTGGCCTCCAAACAAACAAATATTTATAAAAAGTTCAATTACATTCCAAATCTTACAAACCAAACAGGATATACAAAAAAATAAAATTCAGTTTCGTTCTAAACTAGAAACAGAACAAACCAATATTTGAAATCCACAAAATCCAGATCTCTCAAAGACATTATGTCAAAATAAACATGTAAATATTCTAAACCTTTTTTATTGAACAAAATTCTCGATCAATAAAAATTCAAGGAAAAAATATAAAAATATTATTTGACAATTAACAATAACTTCATTACACATCAAATCCAAATTCAAACCCGAATCCGAATCATCCGATTATAAACAAGTTTTTTTGATATTTTACTTGATTCTAGTAAACTTTTATCCAAATTTGAAGGACTGATATGTAAATTATTGAACTGGAAGGACCTTGTTGACAATTTCCTGACTAAGAGCTGCAATCTGAGAATCAAGAGACTTGATCGTATCATCCTTTGACTTCTCCAAACCCGCCAACGCCTCCTGCAACTCCGCCTCCACCTTCTTCCTCCCTTCCGCCAGCTTCGCATCCACCTCCGTCGCCGTCTCCTTCTTCATCTGGTTCAATGCCGCTGATATCTCCGCCCTCGCTGCTCTCATCACCGCCGCCGCCTGCTCCTCCAATTGCTTCACCTCACTCGATGTATCCTTCACGCTGCTCAGCTTCTCTTTGATCTCCGCATCCCTTCCGTCCATGAAATTCCCCAACGGCGAGTAGTATACTTTGTCGAGAGCGAACATGAGGAAGAGAAACTCCGCCGCGATGATCGGAAGCGTGAGATCGAAGTCGAAGAGTTGGGCCTTTTCGATCTCGACGGCGAGGGAGGGGAGTGGTGTGGCGGCGACGGAGGCGGCAACGAGGGCAGCGGCGGCTAGGGATTTGGGAGTGATGGAAAGGGAAAATCGGGGTTTGATGAGGGGGAGGGGGAGGGGGAGGGAGACGGAGGGTTGTGGGAGGGGTTGGTGTTTTGATTTAGGAGTTGGGGGAGATGTGATTAGGGTTTTGGAGGAGGCCATGATCATGTTGGCCATGGAGGAGGATAGCTAACAATGGCGATGAAGAGTAATGCCCAAATGGTTGAGAGATCGGGTTGTGGTAGAGGGATTGGAAGATGATGATGATGGTAGTGGAAGTGGAAGGGGAAGGGGAAGGGGAAGGGGAAGGCTTATCTCATTCTATGCCACACAAAATGATATGCGGTTCCCAATTGCCAACAAAAATCAAAACAAGCCTTCCACGTCCAAAATTGAAAATTGTTCGTTCGGTAATATTTTTTTTATTAACCTGAATATCTAATTCTTTACGTGAGCCGATTAATTTTAGGATAATCATCTGCTTTGTAGATAGTTTGGAGTCATCACATTTGAACCTCCGTGGCCACAAGAAGATTTTTATTTCTCATTGGATTTGAATCTGAAACTTCTTGATACTTTTGACCTTTGAAGTCAAGCTCAAACCAATCAGACATCCCCTTATGGTTTGAAATAGCATTCAGTAACATTTTTGGGGTATATATAAATGAGAAATTAATTAAAGTAACCATTTTTTCTTGTGGTATTAGGTCTTTAAGTGATAGCTTTTGGAATTTATAGATGGATAAAAGTATAAAAAAAAGTTTCTGAAACAGGTCTGTAAGTATAAGAATTAAATCTGTAAAATAGATATAGATGTTAGAATTTGCAGATTTGGTTTATAAACTTTTTTTACATTTTGATCCTTCTGCAAATTATGGATTTGTTACTTGCGGATCTAGTAACATTTTGTTGATTTTAGAAAAGAAATGGTTAAATGATGAAACCAACATCTGAAAACGACTATTTTAATTAAATTTACCATACTCTAAATTATTATAAAATATTTGCTATATTTTTTCTTGTTAACAACGGGTATCTCAGTCCAATTTGCTATAAAATATTGTTTCTCACTTAGATGTCATTAGTTATTAAATAAAAACAGCAAATGTGAAAACCAAAAAAATTATTCTAACACATTATAATGTCCTCACGAAAAAAAAAATTCAACTATTTTTCATATTTCACCACGTAATTTCACATTTATTCAAAATTTGGCTTCTTTATTTTAGATATCATGGCTCAATTATTAACGAGTTTCCCACTCCGAAACTTAAATGGATGATGATGACTACATCTTTATTACCATCATCACCAACGACATCCGAGATCCAAAGATGATATATACTCAAGTACTTCAAGTAGTCACAAACCTCGTTATTTCATGTAATAACCCATCGGATAACCGAAACCTCCAAAACCTCCGGTGAAGCCATTGAACAATGAACTCGTTCGCCCACATGATCCGTATGCGTTGGAACCAGCATTCGATCTGCATGAAATATCTTTCGTTCCATTGATATTTGTATCATCGTGTTTGAAACCCCCTCCTCTTCTCAAATGCTCTTTTGGAGTGTAATATGAGGACGAGGCTGCACATAACTCACAATCTTGAAATGTTCGCCCAAGTCTTATTGTAGAATTGACAACACGATCATGTCCCTTTGTTGGGCCTTCGTGTCTTCGGTTTGAAAACAACCCTCTCATGCAACCCCATTTTGGCCGAGGTTTCGTATTAGCACCAAAATCCACATAACCATCATTGATTTCATTTAGGACAAGATTTGGCTGGTTCGAGTGATCGTTCCAGCTCTTCTTTTTCATGTCTATATATGAATAATCCATTTTGCTTGATGACCTATTTTGGAAATTCCCAAACTTCAAGTTCATTTATTCATTTGGTATTTTCTAGTTGATTCCACAAATACGAACTAAATCTTGTTACGTAAGTCAATAACTTACCCCTTGGCTTCATCTGTGCCGTAAGCGAGCTTCTCTGATCTTTCACTTGCAAGATTATTGACATGAGGTGTATGTCGAACAAACCGAAGCTGAGCAATGGAAACCGATAAGATTTGTTACTTGAATGTTAAAGATCAAATGTCGAATATATGTCTGTACAAAAAGTAACAAATCTTCCCCACCCAGATGATCAGTTGTGATTTGTGACCCTGATAGATTCTGAATTCAAATTACATTCTTTATAATGATTAAACATAAGATGTGAACATATCTAAGATAAACACCATATCCATATGTTTTGTAGTGATATTAGCAGCTAGAGAAGGAATATATAAAGCAAAATCCTATTTAAAATACTGTATCCAAGGATGGAATACGCTGACCTGATCACCATTCTGGATCCCATATCGCACAATAGAATCACGGTCACGAAGGAGTTTCTGACCCTTGAAGCATAAGCAGAACTGCCCCCATACATGCGACCTATGAACACAATCAAATGAATCATTTTCTTTGAACTCATCTTACCACCATTATATAGAACTTAACTTCTAGATCCAATGGCCAAGAATTGACAAATTCCGTATTTTTAGCATGTCTAGAAGAAGATAAAAGGGGGGAGAATCATAAATAATGAACCATTAGAGAGGATAATTAGGCATACCATGAAACCTTGGCATCTCCTTGTTTAGGCAAATAACTGAAAGCAGCCTCCACTGCCTGCTTCAATTTTGCCACCGTTGCTTTCTTTGTAACAATAATATCTACGTAACAAGCAGATCATTCAACATTCCTTTAATTCCAGAAAGAAAAATGACGAAATGTATATAGAGGCAGAGAGGAGGATCATAAATAACAATTACTCAAATCAATAAACAAATGCATTTATAAGAAGTTACCAAAAGAAGATCCATCTAACTTGAGAACGCAAAGTCTGATCGGTTGGAAGGAGAATTTGCCAAATGGAAGTCGCTTCCATGAGTAGCGTTTATCCGGCAAGAATGGAGGATAAGTGTTTGTCGAAAATGGCGATGATTGACTTATCTCAAAGGAAGCCTTACGATTAGAAACATTACGATTATATCCAAAATCAGCGAAATCGCCAACCTCATTCGCTAAAATTCCCATCCCTTAATTAATACGAGTAAATTATCAATAGATGAGATGCTGATGATAATGTGATTGCGATAAGATTCAATGGATGGAGAAATTGATGATGATGATTATGAATTGGATGGTAATCAATCGCTAAGAATTAGAGGGAAAGTTATGGTTAGGGTTTGAAATTTGGATTTGGGGACCGGAGAGACGGAATGCGAGAAAGGAAATCCTCCTCTTTGTTGAAATTTGACAGTTTCTTTCGGTTGGTCAGAAAGGTGACGTGTCCTTTTGCGCACTATTTTCAAGTACATAAAAATAAATAAATAACTAGTTTTTCGTTAAAAAATACTTTGATTTAATAAAAATATTTTTTCTCCGATTTTCTTGAAAGACATCATTAATTAAATCGACCAAAAAGAAACAAAACCAAGCATAATCAAACAAAAGAGATTAAGACAGGAAAACCGAAAACAAAAAGACATCTCGATTCATATGAACCCAGCCGAACAAAGCTAAAAACAAACACCCAAGAAAAACGAAGCAAACACATAAAAAGAAAACCCTTCAAACATCGAAACTTACGCTCCACAAGCAAGACGTGTAGTCGGATCGACTCATCAAGTTTCCATTGAAATAGAATCCACACAAGGAAAGACGACAAATGGCCTGGGGTTGCAGCATCAGTCTGCCCAAAAATTATTGAAACATTTTGTACGATGAGTGAACCATTGAAAAGGTAAACGTTGGATGTCGGAAGCTAAATCTGATTGCAAGGAAGGAGTTTGATCCAAATATTACTTTATTTATGTAACTTCATATCACATACATAAAAATCCGTAGGACGATTTGCCACAATTTTTTGTCAACGAAAATAAAATAAATCAAAATCAAAGTGACATAATTTAAAGTAAAAATTATTAATGGGAATAAAAGTTGTGTTATTTTGGAATAATATAGACAACGAAAATTGTTTATTTAAAAGATCATTTCAGTAATTTTGTCAAAATGCAAGTTTAGCTTATCGTTTGTCGGTACTTTTGACTTAAAATAATCAATTTAATACTATTTTAATATCTGATATGTTATTAAAAAGGTGTATCATTTAGATCATCTCTATCGCTATCGGTATCGCTTAGGGATCGTTTACCCAATTCTTATCCGGTAAGCGTTTAACGGTAAGATTCAAGACTTCTACTTAACTTATCGGGTAAGATTTTGAGGAGCCATCACCTCCCAATCACTGCAATTGTAGTTGATAATCGCTTCAAGATCCAAGTTTGTGAAATTATTTGGTTTATAGGCATGCTTGTAGTTTAAAGATTATAAAGATGAATTCATATTTATTTCCGCTTTAGTCATATGGTTAAATGTTTATACGGTAACATTTTTTTTATAGAAATAATAATAATAATAATGTATTTCATCAAGTACGGTTTTTGATTAACTTTAAGATAAACATCAATCATGTTGACATTTGATTCAATTATTATTTTGTATTTAAACGTATTTATCAGTTAGTTTCATAGGATTAAAAGAACTTTAAAAAATAATAAAAGACATATTAATTACTTGTAAACTTAAAATTTAAATTATTGTACAGTAGAAGAGTACTCACGCAATGCAGTGAAATCCATCTCGATTCTAATATATTTTATCTTTTATCTCTATCGACGTAATAATCAATTTTATATGGTTTTGAAAAAGCGATAATGTTTTTATTTTTAAATAAAATATAAAATTAAAGATTTCATAAAATTTTGAAAAAATATACTTTCAAATTAAATATTTAAAAGTTACCAGTTTTTTGTGTAATTTATTATTATAATTTAATTTAAGTTTATTAACAAAGTAATTTATTTTTCTTTAATAATATAATTTTTATAAAAATGATAATAAAATATTCTGTTATAACTCAATAATTATTTTAATTATATTTTAGATTTTTTATATGTAAATTAAGATGTTTATCTTGTATTTAATTAAGTGTATCTACAGTTAGTATAAATTCAAGCATGAAGATTTAATAAGTTACACTTACATATAATCTATTTGTAATTTTGAATTTTTAAGTAATATACCTCAATAAGAAGTAAAAAAATAAGTTTTAAAAGTTTTTACCAAATGTTTTATAATATAGTATATGCTATTAAACAATGCTCAATATATAAAAAAATTAATTTTTTTTATCTAGATACTTCATTATAAGTTTTTAAATTTATTTAAAAATATGGATAATTACAAAATACAAATGAAATTTGTTTTGCTTATAAGTTTTTGAATTTATATATGGTTCAAAGATTAAACGACGTGAGTTATTAAATATAAGTAAACTATGAATTTGATCAGTTTGTTGAAAAAACATTTTTTTGTTGTTGTAGTTTTAAAATTACAAGAGGATCATAGTTGTTTGGAAAACATGATCTCTCTATAACTGTCATTAAAAATTTCCATTAATTGAGGTGTAATTTTCTTATCATTTACTCGACCAAAATTGATTTTTCAATTTTGTTTTTTGTGGGTTTTGATAATACTATTTGACAGTTGTTGAATGATTTGATGCAGAGTGATTAAGTGGTCAGAATGATTAAGAGGCTCTCATCTGTCATGATATAGTGCAAAATGAACTAGAATTGTTTGGTAATTATTTTAACGAAATTAGGGCGCTGAATGGTTAAGGTAGACACATGATACAAAATCATTAAGAATGTTTTAGAATCATTAAGAAACAAATATTTTTTTTGCTAAAAAAAATCACCTCTTAACGATTCAGAAATTGTTTCTTAATTGATGTAATTGTCCCTCATTTGACAGATTTTTTAACTATTACTAAAAACAAGTCCGATTATTTTTACAAATCATGATAGTCCTTTGTAACTTCGAAACTAAGGGATAAAAATATTATTTTCGATAAACGAAATGGACCAAATTTATTTTTTACTCTTTTAATATTTATCCAGAAAAAAGAAAAAGAAAAAAGAAAATATCTTTTCACACTTTAAAATTCAGTTTCCATGGATGGCGATGGACTCCACAACTTTGATTTGTTTAATGAAGTTGCCGATGCTTGCAACACTGAAACCATCGATTGCTTTCTCTGATTGTTTTCTTCACCTGTAAATTCTCTACCTCGCTACTCAGATTTTGTCATCTCTTCTTTTTCGTTTTGTTGTTTTACTATAAACAAATCTCATGATTGATATATCATCACGATCACTTCTACTTGATCGTTGCATTAATTTGTCAAAACTCGAGTTTTCAATCTCTAATCTGCTCCCAAGCGGTAAGGGGTTTTGGGATGTTGAATTTTTTGTTCAAAATTTTATGCTTCAAGTGCTGAATTTGTTCCCCTTTTTAGTTGGTTTAGATAGTTAGGGCACAAATTGCAAAAAAAGGAAAATCAAATTATATTTCTCCTTATTAGTTGTTTTTGTATGCGCGCATGAGGATGATAAAGAAGAGTTGAAATTTGGGTAAAAATGTTTAGAATGAATTTCGAGTCTATTTACCTTCTTTGGTATTTAGGGAGCTAGTTGTAGACTATGGTGGGTGTTTATACTCGATTTTACTAATTATGGCGGTGTGGTCCTTCTACTTCATTATGTAATTGAGATTATGGTGGAAATTTCTGTTCTAATTAGACCTGGGGATACAAGTTTTGTTGTTGTATGTGAGCATGACTTAAGCTGGTTATGCGCATAAGCTCTTAAATTTGTAACTGTTGCCACACCAGCTATGAGATGGATGATATAAGAACACCAAAAAAATATTAGGAGTCATCGTGTGTGCGTGTGTACGGGTGTGTGTGTACATATATATTATATTGAATTAACCATTATTGTAAGTAAATCTTGAGTTACCATTATTACAGAACTTATTTGACATGTCTCCAAAAATTGTTTGCTGAAATTTATGTCATCCATTAGACCTAAGATAGTCTTTGCCTTCCCTCGATCTCAGTTAGTTGCTTGAACGTATCCGAGGCTGTGTTCATATTCCAAAGACAGTCTTTGTAGCCCTTATTTCGGATTCCTTATTACCAGTTTCTCATGTTACCAACCCTATTTGTCAAGTCACATGTTGCAATTTCCACATGACAAGTATTATAATTTGATGAAATGGATGGAAAACTGAGGTTTCCTGATGCATATTGCATCACACATACCTACATCATTGCATTTTCTGTTTCCATCTTTCTTCCAGTGCTATATATATATATATATATATATATATATATATATATAAATGCATCATTTAGTACAATCTTTCTAAGGTTATACATGAAGGAAAATTGCAAAGTTAGTTTTTAACTATGGAATATTTGAGCTATGCAAATTTATTATTTTCTTATTGATCTTTGTTGATCTTTGTTGATTACACATGATCAGTTATCTTTCATTCAGGACTTAATGGCTGGAAAAGTTGTTGCAAATAGACCGTCAACTTCCTTTGACTTCGAGATTGTTGATAATGATTATGATCAGCTTACAACTATAAGTGCATCTGCTAACCACATCAATCCATGGATAAATCCTGCATCTATAAAACTTAGGCATAGACTTGGAAGGGGCCCATTTGGCGATGTCTGGTTAGCAACTCGTCATCAAGTTACTGAAGATTATGAAGAGTATCATGAAGTGGCTGTAAAGATGTTACATCATATCAAGGAAGATAACATCAAGGCTGTATTAGATAAACTTAATGTTTTGTTGTCCGAAACTCAAGGATTACAAGGTGCATGCTTGCTGCATGGTGTTTCAGTTATAAGTGGGAAGGTAAATAAGCAGATCCTACTTTTTTTCTAGAAACAAAATTATACTTTATCGGTCCCAAGATAATACAATGTTTGACTATTCGTTAAATATCCGCAAATGCCCCTCAACAACTATAATCTAGAGGAATCTTTTGGACCAAAATAAATTATACCAAAATTTTGTGATAATTAATTTGAATCTTATCCAAAAGGGAATTTGCATTTATTTGCCGCAACCCAAAAAGAGATTTGTTGCATTTATCTTGGGACAGAGGGAATACTTGCTTGTAGATGATTAATGAATTTATGTACTTGTGTAGTTGTCTTCATTAAAAGGTTTCATATATTTCAGATATGCATTGTTATGAAATTTTATGAGGGATCAGTTGGTGATCAAATGGCTCGTTTTAAAGGCGGAAAGCTTTCTTTGCCTGATGTGTTGAGGTAACGTTGGTAAATGATAATATGAAATTATTTGCTAGTTTGTTTAATAATTGATCCATAGTATTATTCAGAGGAGCCTGTTAATGCTGATAGGTATGGGATTGATCTGGCTCAGGGAATTATGGAAGTGCATTCAAAAGAGAGCCTAATTCTTAATCTTAAACCTTTTAACATCCTCCTGAATGGAGACGACAAGGCAATTTTGGGCGATTTGGGAATCCCTTATGTTCTGCTAGGGGTACCATTGCCTAGTTCAGATATGACTAGAAGACTTGGCACGCCAAACTACATGGCCCCTGAACAATGGCAGCCAGAAGTTAGAGGCCCCTTAGCTTTTGAGACTGATTCATGGGGCTTCGGCTGCAGCATTGTGGAAATGTTGACAGGTGTGCAACCTTGGTGTGGTAAGTCTATTGATGAAATATATAACTCAGTTGTAAAAAGGCAAGAAAAACCACACATTCCAGATGGTCTTCCTCCTGCTGTTGTGAATGTAATTATTGGCTGTTTTGAGTATGACTTCAGGAGTCGTCCTTTGATGGCAGATATATTACATGTCTTTGAAAGGTACGCATCTTTCATTATTTTGGAATTCATTTATGATTCATAGAAATATAATCTGAGGATATTGGTTTCCGTGGATGTATGCACTTCTCTTTAATGGTGACAAAAATTCCATCAGTGAAAGATGAAAAATTATGCATTTAAGGAGTTCAATATAAGCCTGAGATCCAATGCAAACAATCAGCCAAAGGAATAGGTCTTATAACCTTGAATTTCTATAATAATCAAGCGCACTACCTCTAACAGTTCCTCTTGACCAGGAAGAATAGGTCCACCTTCCTTCCATTCCATGAATAAAGGCTCATTTGGATGAGCCACCGTCACTACTGAATGCGGCCCTCATTAACCTTTTACATAAGGTTAAGTGATCGAGTAGGGCTCAAGTCACCCTCATATATATAATATATTTGCTATATATCATATTGCTAACACATATACATGTGCATCATTAAGTTAATGACTTAATTCCATATGCAACCTATTTGCCGCTTGGTTTCTTGCTCCAAATAAGAAGAATTATGGTATCAAAAAACCATGATATATGATATGAAATGACCTTAGATGCTGAAAATTCACCACAAGTCAATCATAGAAATACTATTCTAAAATAAATTTTGTTAATCTGTATAAGGTCTCAAATGTAGCCTCTTTGATGTGAATGCCTTCTCTAAGCTATATTGATTTTTTGATCGCCTCTGTTTATTCACAAAAATCAAATTTTGATGTTTAACGGGAGCTTTTCACATCTGTGACCATCTTTGAAAAGCATCGCTTTCTTATTTCCATCATCCAAGTTATATACCAAATTTGCAGCTCAAAGAATGCAGCTTACCATGATGGAAGCTGGACTAATACCGGTAGCAGGACCATTGTAGAGAAATCAAATTGGAACGGCTACACAGAATGGTTTTTGTCAAAAGACCGTCTTCAGGTGGGTGATATGGTGCGATCAAGAAAGCCACTAAACTCTTGCAAGCCCGAAAACATGGTTGTTCCAGCGGGGATAATCGTGGGTTTAGACACTGATAGCAATCAAAATGGTTTTGTTTTGGTACGGGTGCATGGAATACATGATCCGGTTAGAGTCCATGGATCTACATTGGAACGGGTCACATTTGGGCTGGCAGCAGGGGATTGGGTCCGTTTGAAGAAAGAAAACAATAAACACTCTCCTATTGGTATCCTTCACTCCATTAACCGTGATGGAAGTGTAGCCATTGGTATCATTGGGATTGAAACTCTCTGGAAAGGTGTTTATTCAGACCTCCAAATGGCAGAAAGTTATTGTACTGGGCAGTTTGTGAGGCTAAAATCTAATGTTATCAGCCCAAGATTTCAATGGCTTCGAAAAAGAGGTTATGAGTGGGCCACCGGGCGGGTTTCTCAGGTGTTACCAAATGGTTGTCTTGTTGTCAAGTTCCCGAATAGATTGGCTTTTGGTGATGAAAACAGTTGCTTCTTGGCTGATCCAGCTGAAGTTGAATTGATCTCTTTTAGTACAAGTCCTAACATGATGAAAAAGTACCAACATCTTGAGGATTTTCATTGGGTCGTCAGGCCATTCTTGGTTTCTTTAGGTCTGTTCACCGCAATCAAATTAGGGTTTTGTGTCGGGAAGAAAATGGGAAGAGCAACTGCGAAAAACTCTGAAATCCTAGAAAATCAGCAGCGTGTCAATATCACAAACGCCAAATGGCTTCCTCCAAACATGGCCAACATCATTTTCAGAGAAGGGGTTACTACTACTCCCAGGTAATTCTTCCACTTTCAGGTTGATCCTAAATTGCACATTGAATCATATTATTTTGGTTATGCTAAAATGAAATCTGGGATCCGGGTTTGTTCAGTTACAACGGATTTCATTAGGTTTTGCAGTCTTGAATCCTTGTGTAAATAGCTGACTGCTTGGTCTGTAGATACTTCAATGGTGAATATATGAAGTTATGATAATGTCTTTATTATTATTATCTTCAAAAGTCTCCTCTTTGTACAGTGAATGAAATCTGAAAGTTATTTAGTCAATCTGATTATTATGATAGTTAAACGCTTACTGGACAACACTTACTTTACCGGATGAGCATGACAAGGACTGGGGATCTTACTCGGTAAGATCCAATAACACACACCAAGAATCTTACCCGGTAAGTGAGTGAGAAGATTCTTACCGGTAAGCATTTATTAGGTAAAACAATTCATTTTGATAGTTGAGAATGTTACCATATAAGGTAAGTAAGGGTGGCTAGCTACTCTTGCCAGTAAGTGTTTGATAAACGGCCCTTTCCATTTAGATCTTTCAAAACCAAAATTATCAAAATTTAGAAGTAGACAAGGAGTTGGAATAAAATTGATTTTTAAGAATAAACACAAATTTAATTTTTAAGATAAAATTGTTTTGGCAAAATAAATTTTGTTTACACACGATTTCATACATGGTCATCCCAAAACAATTTTATTTTTTTTGCAAAGTATCAACATCATGCATACCAATAATAATTGTAAGAAACGACTAATCAAGTATACAATATTAACATGGCTATATGATCCTACGGTCATGATCGATCCTAGAATTCTTACCAAACGATGGTTCAATTTATAACACGAATCCACACAAAATGGCACGACAAAGAATAATCGTTATCTGAATTGTCATTATGACACACTGCAATCTGTATTCTTGAAGTTTATCTTGCAAATTGTGCTCCATGTAAACCAAACGGATACAGTCACAGTAGGGTCAGCAGCAAAATGTACACAATCCAAATCTCACTTCATATCGAACAAGTAGAATATTAACAAAATATGAAGGCTAAGGAGCCGTTTACCAAACGCTTACCAAGTCACTTTATCTCACCAGATGAATACGATAAGGACCAAGAATCTTACCCGGTAAGTGAGGGCAACAACTTTTACCATGGTAAGCGCTTACCGGGTAAATTGTTGCATATGATATCGTTTTGATGGACTAAAATCTTACTCGGTAAGTAAATAATAGTGTTAAATTTTACCGGTAAGTACTTACCGGGTAAGTATACAGACAAGAGACATCACCGTTACTTATCATGTAACATTTTCGCCCATAAAAATGGATTGTGGGCAAGTGTCTTAAACCTGGTAAGTGCTTAGTCTTTTCTCTCACTTACGAGGCAAGACTCACACCTTGCTATGTCTTTTACCGAATAAGATTTCCCGATCGTTTCCATGCTCAATCGATAAGGTAAGAGATATTATTAAACGCTTACCTGGTAAGTCTTTAGTAAATGGCCAGAAAATAGTAAACCTTTTGACTACAACATGGCAGTTTAAGAAAGGATCAGAGTTTTTCACCATCTTTTTAGACCGAAATTTAACTACAACACGTTGCCTTTCCTCCATCTAAGTTCATCATGATACAACTTCCTCAAACAAACCAACTGCTTACTGATAGAATTACCCAAAGAAGAGCCCATATACAAATCCATGTATATACAGTTTGACACATTTTATATCTAAAGACTAGACTCATTTTCTGCAGATCTTCCTGCATCATCCTTCCCTTTTGAACTGTGAAATTTTAAAGCATAATTAATAACAGAACTTACTTGTTTTCGTAGTGTGATGTTATCCACAAGGATCTTTGACAACATCTTCTTCAGTTCATGATCAGCCTCACTTATGTCTGAAACATCATGCTTATCATCTTGTGATAAGATGTGGGCCTGATGAAAAATGCATCAAGAACACCGAATAATCAAAACCATGGTGGAACTTATTGGTAGCTCACAATTTTGAGCTTATAAGCTCATCAACCTACTTTTTTATCCATGTGGGACAAGTTGTTACATCGTTGTTATGTTAACAGTAAAAAAACAATAAAACCATATTAAGACGAATGTATTATTTCCTAAAATTGAGTTGCTTTCACCATCATTAATAACTGAAGGCTTTAATGTCTGGAATTTTAGAATGCCGTTATTATCGCTGGCGGACCCAAAATTCTCTTTGAGAAGGCGCACAGGTGGATAAAGGTCCACAAAATCGCAGACCTGGGGCAAGAGTCTAACACAGTTTAACGAAAAGCCAATTACGATTTGGGGAACAAAATACATTTTTTCAAATAAAATCAATCTTGATCTTTAAATTAAATATATGTTTCTTTGAAAATGAGATAAAAAGCAATGGTTTTTAAGATGAATTAATGTTGAGAAGGAAAATAGATCATGAAAAAGAATGATAAGATCAAAATGGAAGAAAAATTGTCAATTTTAGGGCCTGAGTTAATGCTCTGGACCAGGCTTGAATCTTTAAAATTAAAAGATAAAAAATTAAACTTTCATTTGCAATAAGATTCAAAACTATGAACTCTTGCATGTGGAGTGGCAACCCAACCATCCCCAGCCATGTTTAATTTCTATTAGAGGTTTGGTTGCGAAGTATTTAAGGGAACCCCTCAAAATCAAGAGGGTGCACCTTAAAGACGCCTAATTTTTTTTTCTCTTGCAATTATCAAGTGAGTGGGTGCACAAGAGCCTGCTCAGCTCCTAAGAGGTCCGCCCCTGGTTATTATAGATGTTTCTTTAAAATTGATGGAAAAAACGCTTGTGAAAGTTGAAAAGATGGTTTTACATAATTTCATTTTGACCCATGAAGCTATAGAGCCAAGTTACTGCCTTACTGGACTCAAGCTCAGGTCCGATAGTCAGACAAGATGACTTGGTTCAGATTATCTGACAAGCTGCTAGTGTATTGACTTAGGCTAGCCAAGCTTTTGGACAAACACGAGCCACAGGATTTCACTAGCCAACTAGTCTTGCCTACACTGGTCACAATATGCACGAAAAAAACAAGGTTGTGTTTAAAACTACAATAGGAATCAACACGACGTACCTCAGAAAGGAGAGCTTCGATCTGATCATCAGATATTTGCAACATTTCAGAAGCAGCTTGCACCGATGAAGAATCTTGAAAGAGTTCATCTTCAGTTTCATCTAAGATATTCATGCTGCAATCACGAAGCTGATGATGAAGAACTCCACATTCATGAATCAACTTCATCCTAGTGACCTTTTCTTTCTCAGACTTGTGTTTTTCTTCCTGCAGTAGTTTCTGGAACAATTTTCATAATAAGACTCTCGGATTTCTCTGTTTACAAACTAAACAAATAAGCATAAACCATATTTTGATCTATGGTTCAAGTGATAATAGTAATGCCAACGATGGAATTAAGATGCATAATCTGATAGAAATATATCAGTGCTAATAAGGTGTCTTAAATACCCCTTCAATAATGACAACATAGGGAAGCTTATGGACCCAAATCCGTATAATAGACCTCTGTTTTTATAATGATTGCAATGAGCAAGTAAGTAATTTTAGTTGAACAAAAACCAAAAAAAAAATGTTGCAACTCGGTGGAGTTGTAGATGCTAATTTCCTTTGATTTAGACTACTATTTTTCCAGTAGCAAATACTATCACAGCAGAAAAAGACCCTTTGTGCCATCAAAATTGCTATGTTTGACATCTCACGTACTTTAGCGAAGATTTTGGGCCCAAATCAATAGCACCAATAGCAAGAATTTGGATCGTGCGACAAATCAAATTTTAGTGAGAAGAATACGAAGGTTATAATAAAATGTTAATACAAGTTAAAATACATTAACATGTTAACTTATGTGAACTTCCTCTAACCAATTGCTTCTTACGCTTCTTACGCTTCTCATGAAAGTTTGATTTCTCACTGGACCCAACCTTAATGAGCAAATAGGTAACTTTAACTTGGAAACTTCCCATAAAGGAAACAATGCAATTTTCAGGGGTCCGGCGGGAAAATGACCTTAAATGAGATTTCATTTAGGAAAGTTACCTTCTGATTTTTTTTTCTCAAGCAATGACCTTTCAAAATGTTTTATTCCGAAAATACAATTCATGATTGTAAACAATGAACAACGATGACCTTTTACAGGGGGCGTCCCAAAAAGTAATGTTTTTTCAAATTTCATGGAACGCAAGGTGGTAATTAACAGATGCTTTATGGAGTGATTGACTACCTCTGCCTTGGATTTTTCTTCAAGTGATTGATTTAGCTGCTGTTTCAAACTGGCTTGTGAAGTTCTAAGGGATTTAACTTCTTTAACAAGAACTTTGACGTCTGCTTTTGATTTCGCTTCTAGCTCTTGATATTTCTTCAATAGGTGATCAAGCTTGTTTTTGGTAGCATCTAACTCCTGAAGCAATTCATCTTTTTCTTGAATCATATATATATTTGGGGATTCTCTTTCTGGTTTGTCATCCTGGAAATGTTTCACTCATCAATCATTATCCCTGAAAGCTGTGTACTTGATTAAATAAGGTGAAAGAAAGAAAGACAACTATGAAACCTGTTGAGACTTCAACTTGAACTCCATTTCTAGTGATTTCCGTCGAAGTTCCTCCATATCCCACTGCATTTGAGTTAATCTTTCTCTTTCCATCAACATAGCTTGCTGAAGGTTTTCTTTATTTCTCTGTTTGGTAGTTTCAAGTTCCTCTTCCAAATCCTTGACCTAAAAATATAAAGACAGTTGAAGTAAACATGTTATATAGCCAGATTCATGTGAAAAAATGGGGCTCACACGGTGCAAAAAAAGCAACGTGTTTTGAGTTTTCCGTCTTTTCTTGGGAAGTAAGGGAAAGAAAGGTGGGGATGAAATTGAAGACCATCTTCATATGCATAAGATACCATCAGGTAGCCATGTTTCATGCAGAAAGTACAATTTGGGCCCAATAGTTCATATGATAACAAAAAAACTGGAAGAGCATAAAGCATAGAGGCAAGGTTAAAACTGTTTTAAATTCCTCACCTTTCGCTAAAGTCTACGAGTGTTGAGATGCCTAGATTTCCAACTCAGATAGGAAGTCCATGCTAGCCAAACATCAGAGACTCTCTCATTGGTTGGGCAGTGATGCCCAAACTGGGGTCTTGCTGTTGGCGCCTATAACTACTCCATGTGATTTATGGATAGGTAGTTTTTGTCTACATAATTCTATATGTCTGTTTTTTCCATATAGTGACTACCCATTTGCCGGTACCCATTTATGTATTAGGTGAACCAACATAAATTGTTGTGTTCTTTCTGTGCCTACTAGATTTCCTTCCCTTTGGGGAAAAGTCACAAGTTGTTGATATGTAAAGAATCCTAACCTAAATAGGAAGCCTGTTTTAGCCCTACTGCCCTATGTTAGAGAGTCTCCCACCAGTTCGGTAGCAAAGCCCCAATGGCCAACAGGGTGTCACTCTTGGACATGGATGCTAATATGATTTAGGAATATGTAGTTTTCCATATATATTATCCCCTATGAATTGTTCCCTCCATCTGTGACTAGTCATTTGCTGCAACCCATGGATATAGCCTATTAGTTTAACTATATAAAATTTTGTGTTCTTTGTGCGTATGCAGAAGTGACTACTAAATTTCCACACCTATGGTAAAAAAGGTGTAAAAGTGTTGAGATGCCTAGAACCCAACTAAAATAGCAAGTCCATATTAGTCCTACATCAAAGATACTTTCATCAGTTTGGTAGCAAACCTCTAGTCAAAGCAATGGTACCCCAATGTATTGTTTCTCATAGCGGATACTCGTTTTACCGCCTCCCATGGTCCATTGCAGGTGAACCACATAAATATCCATGTTCCTTGTATGCAGGTGGTTATTAGTTTTCGTGATAGTGTGAAATAAGAAAAAAGAATGAATTATCTGAAATAAGGGTGAAGATTCATAGAAGAATGGGTGGAACTTCCAACATACCTTAGTTTTAAGATAATCTTTCACAGCTATTTCTTGGTTTAATCGCGATTTAAGATCCTCCATGTCAGTTTTTGCTGTTCCTAGTCTCCGCTGCATACTGATAAGAACCCTGTTCATCTTTAGCTGCTGATCTAATGGAAGAACTAAGGTTATACCACTGAAAACATCTTCACCTCTTTGGAAAATTAGGTCACCATMTGAAGACAAATCGCTAAACCCCAAATCTAGTGATAAACTTCCTCTTAATGAACTTGCCTCACTCCTAAAATTCCCATTCGAAAGCTTCTCAAAGTTTCCAATCACTTTACCCTGTTCTGATTCAGACACACTCTCCTTTCGGTTGACATCAAGATAAGCTGCACTTGAAGCATTACCATTTCTCGCACTTCCACTTGTAACTTTGTTGATCTCCCGGGCATGAATCGTATGCCGAGGATGCCCTTCCACCTGCTCTAAAATAGTTTGTCCCATAAACAAGCCTTCATTGATGTTTGACACACCATATTTGACGAGCTTTTCTAGTGGACCGGTCAAATCTTCATCCACCGACAGATCTGTATCAGCTTCAGAAATATTATCCCTTCCGAGGATTGAAGTTCCAACCTCAGAGGTCTCAAAAGCAGTATCACTACCATTGTCTGGTGTGACTATTGTACTACTAGAAACCACCGAATCACTGGAATTAGAATAAAGAAGTGGAGACACGGTCTTATTCACAGAATAATTTCCTTCTACAGTTTGCTGGTTGTCATCTTGGAATGCTGCAGAAGGATTACAAAATGCAATCAGAAGTCTAAATTTAGTGGAGATAAAACAAAATGAATTTCCAGAAATTTTGTTCAAACTGAAGAAAACGAATCTTAGGTTACACGAGGTGAGGCAGAAATCACATACAAGATCTAGCAGCAGATTCTAGTTCAAGAAACGACGCCACTACAAAGCTTCTCGATATATCAATGTCAGATAGCAACTCTGTTATCCACTCCTCCAAAGAGCATCGGCGCTGCATAATAGCCAATGTGTGAATCTTAAATGCCCAAACATACTATCCAACAACAATATTTCAATCAGAATCACTAACTAAGAAGAAAAGGAGATCACATCACCAACCAATAAATCTGAAAGCAATATACATAAAAAAGTTAATGGCAATATCTAGGGCATTAATCTCATGTGTTTGTTTTACAGAAGACAACATTAGTAGCGGTCATATGAACCGGTTGACCCTCCAACAAATAAAAACCACACGGTCCAAGTCAATCACAAAACCTAGTAATTAACAACAGAGTTAAAAATGGTGACCCAAAGATTCAACCGTTCAACCAGTGCAGAAGGTGGTTAAACAATCCATCATCAACCGATGAAGTATAAAAGTGTCCTCGGCCCCTTATTTTCAATGAACTTTTCCTTTGTTCACTTTGTTATTTTAATAAAATGATTTCCTATTTTCCTTGTGTTTGTAAGGTTGAAATTTCACCAAAAATTTCCGTCCCTTAGAAATTTCCATATTTTATGTTGTATTAATATGCTATATATGCTATATATACATACATATATATATATATATATAATACATGTATATACACACATATATATACATATATATCGTTATTAGTATGTATAAATATTTATTATGTAATTATGTTACAAGTCAATAGCGGTTCAACCATGGTTGACCTGAACACATCCGACCCCAAAAATTTTCTTGATCAAGGAGTGGTCAGGGTTTTGAAACATTATGTCAAGCAATCACTACTTCATGACAGTAGGTGTGATCAATTAAGATTACTACCTCTTCCAAAAGCGTTCTACTTTTTAACCGCAAGAGTCCCTTTGGTGGTGCTGATGGGAAATTCCTTTTGGGAAATGCTTTTCTAAGCTGCAAAAACAGATTAAAAGTAATAAGACACTTGAGGAAAAAAGATACAGAATATAGAGCTTGATTCAGAGTAACTCAAACTTACAGCAGCAAGTAATTTCAAGAAATCATTGAATCTTCTTAACACCGCACGTGTTGTTGTAACCCCTTTGGGCGATTGTAGGCCAACTTGAACCCTATAGAACTGTCCATACGAAAGTTTAATACAGAGAAGCCTAAAGTGTTAACAGAAATGGTAGAATTCATTCAAATCACAAAGAAAAACGTATAGGATACTTCCAATAAAAAACTTGATTCCTTGGCTAGGTGTAAAGATGTTTGAACTTGAAATGCATTAGTCAATTTCATGACATTCAAAGATAGACAGAAGGCAAATTTACCAAAGGACATTGGCCCAGCGGCATCCGGTAACCCAACCTTTCTCAAGGTCAAGGGTTCCAACCTCACCAAAGGTGAGGGGTGTGTATGTGTGTGTGAGAGTTTCATTTGGCATATATAGATATCATGTACTTCAAAAAAATTGCTAGAAAACCCATCTTTAGTGGTAAATCATTATTTAAAATATCGTAATATTCTTAATACAACAAGTTGATGGCCGATGAAAGTTTGTGTGAGCAAACCACTTAGTTTCTAATATCTTGCTTTTGAGAACTATCCAGCCCCAGCCATCTAGCCCTAAAATCTCCTATCATCTATGCTTGTCACCATTTCTTAAAATATAAATTTCCAATTTAAGATGTCAACACAATTTATAATTTTAGATTCAAAGCTCTTCAAGCACCAAAAATAAAAGGAAATGAAGCAAACTTGCAGGTGAATTGAATGATTAATCATGTCAATTTCAAATTACGGCATAAAATCATCATCTAACCCTTTGTATAGATAAAGACTATGGATTCATGCAATTTGAGTACCACAACAGCCTCTGATTCTCTAGACTTTGGAAGTACAACCCAAGTTGGAATTGTGACGCAGTAACTCCATCCTGTGTGAGAATCATGTGGCCAAACTGTCTCCCGTCCATTCTACAGAAGAAAAAAAATTATAGGAAGGAAGCAATATTAGAAAACAGCTAATCTTATAGTGGTGAATACAACATCTTATGGTTAAAGCAACACTACTAGATAAATTTCACATGAAACTTCCAACAGAACAATGACAAAGGATGGTTTAGTAACTGATATTAATATGATACAGACAATTTAGGACATGAATCTGTAGAAGATAATGAGAAAGGAAACTAGGATTTTGAGGACTCGTTCCTTCAAGCTCTAGGATCACTAGGGATTCACACTTGAAGCACACAAAAACACTTGTTTTCAAAAAAAGTTCTCTAATTAATCAATAATTTGGATGGGCCGGCAAAACCATATAAATGATAAAAGAAATAAAATAGGAAATATGCTAAATGAATTAATAAATTCTAATGAACACGACTAATGGCACAATCAACAATGTGCAAGATGGTGGAAAACCTTTAAAGGGAACAAAGTACCGATGCTTGTGTTATTCTTATAGAAATAAAGTAATTGTTACGGAAGAAAACTTGGGCATTACCCATGTGCACATGCAGAATAAATGATGAAGGATGCTAATGGTGCATGACAAATTGTTTATGATGCCTCTACTCGAAAGCATACTGATACTGTTTTTTTTCTTTATTTAAGCAATTGGTTTCATTTAAAATCTTACCATACTCAAAAAAACATACCACAGTTACTACCACTGGGACACAAAAATTACCTAGCT